GGAGAAGGGAGTGGCAGAAGATGAGATAGTTAGATAGCATCACTGACTCAAGGGACATGAGTTTGAGCAAAAATTTCAGGAGACAGTGGAGGAGAGAGGAGTCTGGCATGCTGCAGTTCTTGGGGTGGCAGAGTCAGATACGACTTAGTGACTAAACAACAATTTAAATTTAGTAACAGAAACAGTGCAAATTCTTTCTCAATTAAGCAAAATTTTGTTGTTTTGTTAAGACTGCATGTTACTGTAACTATCAAAATTTAGCATCTGAATTAAGGTGTATTGTAAAAATATAAAATATGCCCAGGATTTAGAATACTGAGCACAGAAAGAATGCAAACTGGGTTTCATTACTTGTCAATACTTTTTTTTTTTTTACTTGTCAATTCTTTTGTGTTAATTACATGTTGAAAAATATTTTAGATATATTGAATTACATTTTCTATGCTACTTATAAAGCATTTACTTTTTTCTTTTTACTTTTTTTCAATGTGGCTACTAGAAAGTTTTAAATTACAAATGTGACTTGCATTTTACTGTTCCTGGGGAGCAGTGCCCTGGTCCTCTGCTGTGAGAAGCGAAGTCAGTGGTACTAAGGATCTTACCGGGACCCTTCTTGTGGGTGAAGTCACTTTTGCCCAGTGTACGCGGGGACTGATGTTTGTTTTCACAATTTCACCTCAGTTAACTCAAAACGTCAAATTATTCAAACTTTGGCAAAGTAATTTCCTAATGGTTCTTCCTCTAAATATGTAACTGAATTTTCAAGTAACATAAATATTTTAAATAGAACATTAATGAATTATCAGGTAAGAATGTACAAGGAGCAGATCTAAGAGTAGAGATTATATCCTTTAATATTTCTGTATGGTTGTTTCTAAAACTACTCTTTCCTCTGGAGAAAACTCTCTTGTTTACCAAATTAATCCCTCAAGGACTGACTTACATTGTGGAAGTATAGATATGTTGCATCATCCATGACTCCAAACAGGGGATCCATTTTGCAAAGAGTATATTACCCTGAGAATCCCAATGACAGGATTATCCTGGTTAAACCCACATGCATTGTAAACAGTTTAAGCATCCTCAAATAGTATCCATTAAATGAATATTCAAGATTTATCTGGATAGTGGCAGTTCTTTTAATCAAAGCGTGATTCACTTTTAAGAGTCACTCAAATTAGTTCCTATGCTGGCCAGTCCATTTATACATTAATTTGTTCATTTATTCATTCAGCATGTATTTGTGGAAGTGCTATGTGGCAGTTACTGTTTCAGGCATAGAGAATTTAATACTTAAAAAATCCCAAGTTCTTGCTATTCTCAAGCTTTCATTCTGTAGAGCTCTAGAGAAAGACATAAAAACAGTGAATAATAACAGTAATAGGAATAATAAACAGTAGTAGGAAGTCAATGATAAGTGATTTGAGGGGAAAAAAAGGATAAGGGGAGAAAGGGATGTGTTATTTCATGAAGGATGTTAGGGTAAGTTTCTCTGAGGAGGCAGCATTTTAGCAGAAAAGTGAATGAAGTTAGGGAGCTCTGGCCACTCAGCTCATCTATAGATGAACTGAGAAAATTCGCAAGAGTCAAAGCGTAAGGTGGGGAGAGTGGTTTGCAGGAGGAACAGCATGGAGGCCAGTGTGTCTGGAGCTGCTCCCCAGAATCAGGTGGGAGGGACGGGGATGAGGCCAGAGAGGGAGCCAAGGCCGACATGTAGGGCTCCATCCTGGTCAGGTTTTGGCTCTTTGTCTGAGTGTGGTGAGACATCTCTGAAGGGTTTGGAGCAGGGGAATGGCACTACCCAGCCTTTGCCACAAGCTATATATATGTGTATTCTTGTTTACAAAAGGCAGACAAGTGAAAAAGTATTAAATGTTTCAGCCCAGATATATCATCATTACTTTTATACCTTTGTGTTTTACCTTAATTAAAAAAAAATTCATCTGGAATTTATTGTCTTCCAAGGGGTGAATTCTCTTTTATTCCACCTCAACTGACAGCCAATTTCTATGCTACAGTGTAAGAGGGTTCCCTTTTCTCCACACTCTCTCCAGCATTTATTGCTTGTAGACTTTTGGATAGCAGCCATCCTGACTGGCGTGTAATGGTTCAAATTTTCTAATATTCCCTCTTCTCTGAAACTTTTCCCACTTCCCTCCCTGACTGTTCAGTCCTCCTTAAGAATTAGTCATTAAAAAAAAAAAAAAGAATCATTCTTGACTTCCTTTGCCTGTAGCACTTAATAATTCCATTTTAACAATTAATTTATAGTTAGTTGTTTAAATAGATGCTCTTTTCCCCAACCAGAGCACCCTGATTATCAGTTATTTAGGGCAGGAACCTGGCTTTATCTGTGTTTATTTACCTATCGCATAGCACAGTGAACGGTACATGGTAAGTATTAAATGGAAGGAAGTATGACTATATCAGCTTGCTTCTCATTACTGGAAATGTTTGGTGAGTAAAATAAGATGGAAAAGTCAGATCGTGGCTATATCGCATCAGACTTCCTATTTTAAGATAGGACTTCAGGGTGGCTCAGCTGATAAAGAATCCGCCTTCAGTGCGGGAGACCCCAGTTTGATCCCTGGGTTGGGAAAATCTGGAGCATGGAAAGGCTACCCACTCCAGTATTCTGGCCTGGAGAATTCCATGGACTGTTTAGCACCAAAGAATTGATGCTTTTGAATTGCACTGAAGAATACTCTTGAGAGTCCCTTGGACTGCAAGGAGATCAAACAAGTCAATCCTAAAGGAAATCAAGCCTGAATATCCATTGGAAGGACTGATGCTGAAGCTCCAACACTTTAGCCACCTAATGTGAGGAGCCTGTGATTCTGGGAAAGATTGAAGGTGAAAGGAGAAGGGAGTGGCAGAAGATGAGATAGTTAGATAGCATCACTGACTCAAGGGACATGAGTTTGAGCAAAAATTTCAGGAGACAGTGGAGGAGAGAGGAGTCTGGCATGCTGCAGTTCTTGGGGTGGCAGAGTCAGATACGACTTAGTGACTAAACAACAATTTAAATTTAGTAACAGAAACAGTGCAAATTCTTTCTCAATTAAGCAAAATTTTGTTGTTTTGTTAAGACTGCATGTTACTGTAACTATCAAAATTTAGCATCTGAATTAAGGTGTATTGTAAAAATATAAAATATGCCCAGGATTTAGAATACTGAGCACAGAAAGAATGCAAACTGGGTTTCATTACTTGTCAATACTTTTTTTTTTTTTACTTGTCAATTCTTTTGTGTTAATTACATGTTGAAAAATATTTTAGATATATTGAATTACATTTTCTATGCTACTTATAAAGCATTTACTTTTTTCTTTTTACTTTTTTTCAATGTGGCTACTAGAAAGTTTTAAATTACAAATGTGACTTGCATTTTACTGTTCCTGGGGAGCAGTGCCCTGGTCCTCTGCTGTGAGAAGCGAAGTCAGTGGTACTAAGGATCTTACCGGGACCCTTCTTGTGGGTGAAGTCACTTTTGCCCAGTGTACGCGGGGACTGATGTTTGTTTTCACAATTTCACCTCAGTTAACTCAAAACGTCAAATTATTCAAACTTTGGCAAAGTAATTTCCTAATGGTTCTTCCTCTAAATATGTAACTGAATTTTCAAGTAACATAAATATTTTAAATAGAACATTAATGAATTATCAGGTAAGAATGTACAAGGAGCAGATCCAAGAGTAGAGATTATATCCTTTAATATTTCTGTATGGTTGTTTCTAAAACTACTCTTTCCTCTGGAGAAAACTCTCTTGTTTACCAAATTAATCCCTCAAGGACTGACTTACATTGTGGAAGTATAGATATGTTGCATCATCCATGACTCCAAACAGGGGATCCATTTTGCAAAGAGTATATTACCCTGAGAATCCCAATGACAGGATTATCCTGGTTAAACCCACATGCATTGTAAACAGTTTAAGCATCCTCAAATAGTATCCATTAAATGAATATTCAAGATTTATCTGGATAGTGGCAGTTCTTTTAATCAAAGCGTGATTCACTTTTAAGAGTCACTCAAATTAGTTCCTATGCTGGCCAGTCCATTTATACATTAATTTGTTCATTTATTCATTCAGCATGTATTTGTGGAAGTGCTATGTGGCAGTTACTGTTTCAGGCATAGAGAATTTAATACTTAAAAAATCCCAAGTTCTTGCTATTCTCAAGCTTTCATTCTGTAGAGCTCTAGAGAAAGACATAAAAACAGTGAATAATAACAGTAATAGGAATAATAAACAGTAGTAGGAAGTCAATGATAAGTGATTTGAGGGGAAAAAAAGGATAAGGGGAGAAAGGGATGTGTTATTTCATGAAGGATGTTAGGGTAAGTTTCTCTGAGGAGGCAGCATTTTAGCAGAAAAGTGAATGAAGTTAGGGAGCTCTGGCCACTCAGCTCATCTATAGATGAACTGAGAAAATTCGCAAGAGTCAAAGCGTAAGGTGGGGAGAGTGGTTTGCAGGAGGAACAGCATGGAGGCCAGTGTGTCTGGAGCTGCTCCCCAGAATCAGGTGGGAGGGACGGGGATGAGGCCAGAGAGGGAGCCAAGGCCGACATGTAGGGCTCCATCCTGGTCAGGTTTTGGCTCTTTGTCTGAGTGTGGTGAGACATCTCTGAAGGGTTTGGAGCAGGGGAATGGCACTACCCAGCCTTTGCCACAGGCTACATATATGTGTATTCTTGTTTACAAAAGGCAGACAAGTGAAAAAGTATTAAATGTTTCAGCCCAGATATATCATCATTACTTTTATACCTTTGTGTTTTACCTTAATTAAAAAAAAATTCATCTGGAATTTATTGTCTTCCAAGGGGTGAATTCTCTTTTATTCCACCTCAACTGACAGCCAATTTCTATGCTTTCCTTGCTAATTGCAATATAATTTTTCCCCATATTCTTGTGTTTCTAATAGTTTTCCTTATATATTTTGATATTGGACTGTATAATATATAAAGAATTTGTTTTTATCGTAGATTATGGTGAAAGTATAAGCCTTTTTCAGTGTAAAATGAGCCACTTTAACTTAATGATTTTTCCCCTGTGTGATTGTTTTTTACATTTTTATACTGAAGCGAAGGGAAAAAAGTAAGCACAAGTCTAGAGCTATGTAAAGCTAAACATGTATGGTGGTTCTCTTTAAGCAGTGAAATTACAATGGTTTTTTTTCTTTTCTGTGCCTTTTTCTAAAATGCTAACCTATGTATTGCTTCTCTGAGGAGATGTTTACATATTTCAGCAAAGTGGCTAAGACCGGAGACTGCTCGGTGCCCTCATTTTCTCTGAGCCATGTGTTTGCCGCACATTTAGATGCCTCAGAAGCATCATGACTACCTCTGGCTCCGCTACTTTTCCTGTTTCCTGATACAGATTGAATACCAGGTTAGAAATCTAGAGTCATGTCGGAATCCTAAGAGGGATTCTATTCTCCTCTCTGTCAGGTGAAAGTGAAAGTTGCTCAGTTGTGTCCCACTCTTTGCAACCCCATGGACTGTACAGTCCATGGAATTCTCCAGGCCAGCATACTGGAGTGGGTAGCCTTTCCCTTCTCCAGGGGATCTTCCCAACCCAGGGATCGAACCCAGGTCTTCCACATTGCACGAGCATTCTTTACCAGCTGAGCCACAAGGGAAGCCCAAGAATACCGGAGTGGGTAGCCTTTCCCTTCTCCAGTGGATCTTCCCGACCCAGAAATTGAACCGGGGTCTCCTTTATTGCAGGCGGATTCTTTACCAACTGAGCTATCAGGGAAGCCCCTCTATCAGTTAAGTCTTTGCAATAAAAGCTCTCAGATATTTGTCATATCCATCTCCTACTTCCTAATCCTTTGTGCCCTGGTTTATTCTTTATCATCTCTCACTTGAAACTAATATCACTATAGGTTCCTAACTGATAGTTTCTCTGGCATTAGTTTTGCTTTCCTGAAACAGTCTTCAATGGGGTCATCAGAATGATCTCTCTAAAACTGTTAGGTAGTGATTACCTAATAGTCTTCAGTGATGCTTCACAATTGAGATAGTTGTTCCCATGATAGTCTGTAGTGGTGTTCTAAGATATATAAAGTCACCCAAAGAAAAAAGAGTGATTCCATTCTCTTTCTATTAAAACAAAAAGGTGCTGTGGAATGGGCTACAAAATTTGCCCACATTTTAAAGAAACGTTACAGAAATTCCATAAATGTTGTGGGTATTTCAAGTTATGCCTCCACCTGTGTCCCTTTTCTTCAAATTCACTGCCATCAAAGGTGTTTTATTTTATTTACTTAAAAAAAAATTTTTTTTTTGGCTATGTTGCATGGCATGTGGGATCTTAGTTCTCTGACTGGAGATCAAACCCATGCCCCTTGTATTAGAAGCTTGGAGTCTTAACCACTGGACCACCAGGGAAGTCCTCTAGAGGTTTTATAGAAGAAAGGTTTGAGAAACACTGGTTCATATGAAAAAGTTCAAGCTCCTTCTCATAGCTTATCAAGAAGACCGGTATAATGAGACCCTTTTTTACCTTCACTATGAATTTTCCCTGTGTTGTGCTGAAATAATGAACGGCTCTTGGTTTGTAGAGATGTATTTTTGAATGCCTCGTCGCCTTTTCACACTGCTTTCCAACAGAGTACTTTTCCCTGTTTCCCTCAACTGTCTAATAACTCGAGCTCCTTCAAGAGTCTGTGAACTTTAAAGTTTAATTAGGTCCCATTTGTTTATTTTTGCTTTTATTTCCAATGTTCTGGGAGGTGGGNTACCACTGTGATAAATATCAAAGGAAATTTAAACAATGTCAATCAGTTGGGAGAGTTCCTGGCACATAACAAGTGCTTGATAAAAAGTAGGTTTTATTGTTATCACAGAGAAGGAAATAGCAACACTCTAGTGTTCTTGCCCGGAGAATCCCAGGGACAGCGGAGCCTGGTGGCCTGCCGTCTATGGGGTCGCACAGAGTCGGACACGACTGAAGTGACTTAGCAGCATTGTTATCACAGGCTAAAGTGTTACAGCTCAAACTAAACTCCAAACTTTTGGCTTAAAGTCTGTGATCATTTCCCTGATTCACCCTCCTGCATTCTTTCCACTATGCCAGGTTGCCTCCTCTTACTGTTGAGAACACCCACTGGTACCCACTGGTCTGTGCCTTGCGCTCTTTCTCACATATATGCCCTCCAACCTAGTGTGTGAGCTCCTTAAAGTCAGAGAACATATACAATGTCCTAGTGCCTTCCCATGTTATTGTCAAAATGCTTTCATTGTCAACAAAGAAGTTATTTACTATAGTCATTAAACAAATTTTACTAGCCACGGGAAGTGTCTCAATGTTGACTTAAGAAATTTGTTAGAAGGTGGGAGGGGGGTTCAGGATGGGGAACACATGTAAATCCATGGCTGATTCATGTCAATATATGGCAAAAACCACTACAATATTGTAAAGTAATTAGCCTCCAACTATTAAAAATAAATGAAAAAAAAAAAAGAGTCTGTGAGCAATCTCATCCTTCAGAATCCTCCCCCAGCCTGCTCTCCCCTCCCACCCCCAACCGTCTCACTGCTGTCCTCTGTGCATACTATTGTCATTGCGTGCCAGGGGTTGAACTTGTTCTCTGCCCATGTTTCCTTAAGGGGATATCTTTCATTTCACCCTCCTAGAGAGGGCATTTGAAAGGGAACCTTTGGAACTTCGCCCAGCAGCTCATTACATTTTTCAGAAGACTGAAGGTTCTTCTGAATGGTGAGATTGTTCAGACCTAGCATCAGTGGGCCAGATTAACAAGGTGGCAGAATTGCTTCCTTAAAAAGTCAACTTGGGCCATCTCTGGCTTGTCCTCTTATAATAACTGTCTGAAAGAAGGAAAAGCCTTCCTCTTTACTCTTTCCCCCTAAGTAGTAAGCACATTCAGCAAGTCATCCCCTTTGTGGATGTGGCCTCTCTGTCGTCCACCTCCTCTTTCAGTAATGAGGTGAGAGTAGGGGTAACTTGGGTAGGGAAATAGGACATCCCAGTGCATTGTGCAGTATCCCATTGTCAGAGCTGCAAATAAAGGTCATAGTCCCTGTTTGGAATTGATGTTATCAATGTGTGTGCTTAATTAGTTAAAACCTAAGGAGAAGAGAATCTATAATATCAGAAATAGCACATTGATTTCAGTCACTAATTTAGTTCTACCAATCAGCCTATAAAGTTCCTGAAAGCCAGAACTGACCATCTCTATTTCGTGTTTCCATGGACAGAGTACTTGACAAATAAAAGGTGTTTAATTTCTTAATTTTTTTCTGATTATAGACCCAATGAAAATGATTTTAGGAACAGAAGAATTTTGTGAAAATAGGAAATAAAAAATGATTCAACAAACCAAAGATTATATATTAACAAAATATAATCTTGTACACCTTTTTTACTATATTAATATACTTTCTTTGCTAAATGGAAATTATAAGATTTTATTCTTAAAAAACAATTTTATAAAACTTTAAATATTCTTCTACAGGGTGATTTTCATTGCTGCAGAATATTTAATTGATAAATGAAGAAAGAGTAGTCAATTGATCAGTAATAATATTTGTCAGACATTTGTCAAGCATTTTGTGTGTGTGTGCTTTGCCACATGGTTTACATGTATAATAGCATTACAACTTCATAACAGTTCTGCAGCAGGAATTTTTATATATTCATTTGCACCTGAAGGAGCAAAAGCTAACAGAAATTAAGTAGCTTGCCCGGCGTTACACAAATACTCAACCGAGAGCCAGCAGAACTCTTAAAAAGGTATTCTATAATTTATTTAGGATACTTCCATCCCTGAGCTTTATGGTTGTTTCCAGTTTTCTCACAGTGATAAATAGTGCTGCCTATGTTGAACATCCTTAGAGCCAAATCTGTGTACATATTTCTGGTCATTTTCTTCAGAAAAATTCCTAGAAGTGAATTTTTCGCCTTCACTTGCTTTTCCCTCTAAGTTCAAATCTAATACATACACAAAATGGAAAATTTGGAAAATACAGAAAAGCACAAAATAATAAAGCAAAAAACTATTGATAATCTCACCTTCTAGATATTACCATTTTTAACACTGCATTCTTTTTTTATGTATATGTGTACATACATATTATATATATATATAGCACTGTATGGGCTTCCCTGGTAACTCAGCTGGTAAAGAATCTGCCTGCATTGCAGGAGACCTGGATTCGGTCCCTGGGTTGGAAAGATCCCCTGGAGGAGGGCATGGCAACCCACTCCAGTGTTCCTGCCTGGAGAACCCCATGGACCAGAGGAGCCTGGCGGGCTGCGGTCCATGGGGTCACAAGAGTGGGATACGACTGAGTGACTGGGCACAGCACAGCGCTATGTATGCCGTTTCTGTTCAGTAGTTAGGTCGTGTTTGGCTCTTTTGTGATCCTGTGAAGCCCATTGGGCTCCTCTGTCCATGAGTTCTCCACACAAGAACACTGGGGTGGGTTGCCATTTCTTTCTCCATGCACTTATACACACACACATACATATAAGTGTAGTGTTATATATAACTGTATTGAAGCATATACTTTACATTTTGTTATAGAAAATTGTATGATATCGCCTGCATCTCTTATGTCTTCTGCGTTGGCAGGTGTGTTCTTTACCGCTGGCGCCTCCTCGGAAGCCCATATATTATAGAAAATTATATGATATTGCTACATGTATAAATATCTACATGTTTTATTTGTAGGTAATCAATTAACTAATTGTAGAAACCATATTTCGGAGTTTAAGGAAAGTATACTACGCTTAAAAAACAAAACAGAAAGAAATCGCCAAGAGTTGCTTAATGCCTTCAAGGAAATGAAGCTTGACATTTCAGAGAAAGAACATGATGCAAAAAATGCAGGTTTGCATTGTTTTTGTTTTGTGTATGGTGGTTTGTTGTGTAATCTTTTGTGTTTGGAAATTTAGATTTTATGCTTTCTGATTTTAGGGCATTTCTTTCCAGTAGATATAACTAAATCAGTACTCATTCTTCTTACTATGAAACATGCAAAAGTGTGGTAAGAGGCATCACTGATAAATTTCCTCTCACTTGTACCTCGAAAATGGTCCATTTCTATTTTCTGTCTCTGAATGGCACTACCATCTGTGATCCATCTGACAGAAGCAGCCAGAAACCTGCACATCCTCTCTGAATCCTTCCTCTAGCATACTTCTCCCATGACTGTCAGTAAGCAGTCCTATTCATTGATAATCCTGTATATCTCACAAATCTATCCACATTTTTCTGTCACCATCTCTACTACCCTAATCAGGCTACTTTCATGCTTCATCTGAATGACTGCTAACATACTTCTTTTTCTCCCCTTTCTCTCTCCAGTCTTGTCCCCACCTGTTTATGCTCATGTTAGCCAAAGTGAAGGCTACACTGTCCTGCAAATGAACTTTCAGTGGCTCCCCATTTCTTCTGGATGAAAAGTTCTGCCTCCTGCTTCCATTCTGTAATCCAGTACCTCCCCTGAACTCAGCCCCTGGCAGCCGCTGATAATTTTCCATAGTTTTCCATTTTACAGAATGCCATACAAATGGAATCACACAGTGTATAACCTTTATGGACTCTTTCACTTAGCATAGATTCATCCAAGTTGTTATGCGACCAGTTGTGTGTTGCTTAATAGCATTCCACCATATGGATGTGCAGTGGAGAGGTTGTTTCACCAATTAAGACACATTTGGATTGTTTTTCAGGTTTCTTTGTTCTTTGGTGATTACAAATACCTGTTGTCATAAGCATTAGTGTACAGATTTTTTTGTATGAAGGGAATTTTCCTTTCTTTAGGATATATATCTAGGATTTATGGGCATATGATAGGTGGATGTTTAACATTATAAGAAACTGCCAAGATGTTTTTCAGAGTGGTTGTGCCATTTTGGAGCAGTGTATGAGAGTCACAGTCACTTCAGTTAATTATAGCCTCTCTGGTGTCATGGCCTCTCATAGTTTTAAGGTGTATTTCTCTGGCGACTACTGATGTTGAACTTTTTTTATGTGCTCCTTGGCCCTCCATATATCTTCTTTGATGAGATGCCTGTTCAGATATTTTACACATTTCTAATTGAGTGTTTTTTTTCTTGTTGTTGAGTTTTGAATATTAAAAAGCATATTAAAAAGCAGAGACATTACTTTGCCAACAAAGGTTGTATAGTCAAAGCTATGGTTTTTCCAGTGGTCATGAATGGATGTGCGAGTTGGACCATTAAGAAGGCAGAGCACCGAAGAATTGATGCTTTCGAACTGAGGTGCTGGAGAAGACTCTTGAGTCCCTTGGACTGCAGGGGGATCAAACCAATCAATCCTAAAGGAAATCAACCCTGAATGTTCATTGGAAGGACTGCTACTGAAGCTGAAGCTCCAATATTTTGGCCACCTGATGTGAAGAACTGACTCATTGAGAATGACCCTGATGCTGGGAAAGATTGAAGGNAACCATCTCATCCTCTGTCGTCCCCTTCTCCTCCAGCCTTCCATCTTCCCCAGCATCAGGGTCTTTTCCAACGAGTCAGTTCTTCGCATCAGGTGGCCAAAGTATTGGAGTTTCAGCTTCAACATCAGCCCTTCCAATGAATATTCAGGACTGATCTCTTTTAGGATGGACTGGTTGGATCTCCTTGCAGTCCAAGGGACTTTCAAGAGTCTTCTCCAGCACCACATTCAAACACCACAGTTTATATTATTGGAGTTTAATTGCTTTACAAAGTTGTGTTAGTTTCAGTTGTATAATGAAATGTATCAGCTACATGTATACGTGTATCCCTTTCCCCCTGGACCTCTCTCCCTCCCCTCCTTCCACCCACTGCAGTCATCACAGAGCTCCCAGCTGAGCTTCCTGTGCTATACCACAGCTTCCCACTAGGTATCTGTTATACACATGGGTGGAAGACCAAATAGACAGCTCTCCAGAGGAGATGTACCGCTGTCCAAGAAGCACGTGAGAAGATGCTCAGCATCACTCTTTATTAGAGAAATGCAAGGTTCAGTCTTTTTCATGTGAATGCCTAAGTGTTTTAGGACCGTGGGTCGAAAAGGTTTTTCTTTCTGCAGTTACCTTTGCATTGTCTTCAAAAATCAGTTGACCATATTTGTGTGGCTCTATGTCTGTATCTCTGTTGTCCCGTAGGCCTGTGTGTCTGTTTGTTCTGTAGTACTCCACAGCATTGATCACTGTATTATGCATTATGAATTAAATTGGGTAGTGTACGTCCTTCAACGTTGTCCTTCTTTTTCAGAATTATTGGGGAAGATTTGAATGAGTGGAGTCATTAAATGTTGAGAGGCTAGAAAACAAAGTTATAAAAATACAAGCTTTAATGATGTGATGTTAAAGTGGTAGAGCAGGGCAGCTAGAGCATGTTTCGGCTCTACTTCCTTCGTTTGGAACCATCTGTTCTCTTAGCCTCTGGTTGTGTCACTCATAGTGTTAGATTTACATTAAATACCTTGAAAATAAATGGGCTTCCCTGGTGGCTCAGATGGTAAAGAATCCGCCTGTAATGCAGGAGACTTGGGTTTGATCTCTGGGTTGGGAAGATCCCCTGGAGAAGGCGATGGCTACCCATGCCAGTATTCTTGCCTGGAGAATTCCATGGATAGAGGAGCCTGGTGAGCTACAGTCCATGGAGTCACAAAGAGTCAGACGTGACTGAGCGACTAACACTTTCACTTCAAAATAAACATGAATCAATAGTCTTTGAGCTATATTTTATAGCTTTACGATGTTGTTAATTCACAGTTGATAGTATGTATCCTATATATTGAATACTAAATCGTGAATTAACTTATTAACTACTATGTTAAAAAATTTTACTGGAAAGAGAAGAATCCCTATAGTTGTGAACTCAAAAACCTTATCTTTTCTCTTTTACAGTTGAGAAGAAAGTGAATGCCTCAGATACGAATGAAACAGTGTCTGATGCATTTGAAGTCTTAAAATTCTTTTTCCCTCATCTAAGGAAAGTAGACAGAATTTATCCTAATGTAATCATGGGCAGAGAGAAAACAGGCGGTAAGAAAACTTAGCATTGGAAGATCAAATACAGACATTTTGATCATTGGAAACATCTTTAAATTTTAAAATGTAATCAACTCATACGATATTCATACAGACCCCCAGCCTATCTGGCATTCATTTGTATTACTGGAAATCAATGTATTGTCTTGCAGAAAAAGATCATTCAATAAATATTTGGAGACTTGAATTTAAATCCAAGTTTAATGAAGATGCTTTGGAAATAAGTCAGTATAAGCCAGACATCATTAAGCATCTGTTACGTGCTTGGCAACTCTTTTCTCCTTTGTTTTTTTTTTTTATTTTTCCATTTATTTTTATTAGTTGGAGGCTAATTACTTTACAATATTGTAGTGGTTTTTGCCATACATTGACATGAATCAGCCATGGATTTACATGTGTTCCCCATCCCGATCCCCNTCATTATCAGAGAAATGCAAATCAAAACCACAATGAGGTACCATTATACGCCAGTCAGGATGGCTGCTATCCAAAAGTCTACAAGCAATAAATGCTGGAGAGGGTGTGGAGAAAAGGGAACCCTCTTACACTGTTGGTGGGAATGCAAATTAGTACAGCCACTATGGAAAACAGTGTGGAGATTTCTTAAAAAACTGGAAATAGAACTGCCATATGACCCAGCAATTCCACTTCTGGACATACACACCAAGGAAACCAGATCTGAAAGAGACACATGCACCCCAGTGTTCATCTCCTTTGGTTTTGATAAATCTATTTCTTATCTGGTTGTCTTCCTATTGCCTCATCTTTCTGAGGAGCGAAGTCAACAAAAGCCTTACAGAAGAGGTAATGCTTGAGTTAAGCCTTGAAGAATGAGTTCAATTTCACCAGGTATAGGAGAAGAGAAAAAGTATTTGCATTGGAAGCAGGGATATTAGGTTAAGTCTCAGAACACCTGCCATTCCCACCAACCACGTTCATTCCAATGAGCGAGTCATTCCAGGTCAGAGGTCAGCAAACCAGAGCCTGCAGGCCAGATTTGCCTGTCTTTAAGAAGCCTTATTGGACCATAGTCATGCTCATTGTTCACTTGTTGTCTCTGACTGCTTTTGTGCTGCAGCAGCAGAGATAAGTAGCTTCAGCAGAGATGATACAGCCCAAGAGCTGAAAATTGTACTGTCTGGCCCTTCAGTAGAAAAAGTGAGCTGACCTCTGCTCTTGGCAGTTCCTTGGGAATAAACAATGTTGGTCTATGTCACATGCCTCTAACAAACCTGTTGTGTTGGGATGGAGAAGCCAGGTGACATTGTTTTCCATCTACTGAATTCTGTGTCCCATATACCAAGTTTGATGTTTTCTTTGATTATCTCATTTCATTCTCACAATCCAATGCAGTAGGAGCTGTGATTATCTTTATTTCTTACCTGAGGCCTAGAGAGATGATGGAACTCTCTGAGATCACACTTGTAGAGGTCTTCACGTGCATCATATTCCTTCCTAGAAGTATTTTAATTGTGGCCTATAAATATGTACATACACATGCGTGAATGTATGAGAGAGTGCACACCAGACAAAACTACATTATACAGAAAGAGGAGGAGTTGAAAGACACAGAAAAGATAAAATCAGTCCCCAGTAACTCTAAGATACTGGATACCAAGGAGAAGCCCAGCCTTGGATAAGCATCAGGAAAGATAAACCAAAGCCCATGATATAGAGTGAAAGGAAGGAGAGAGAGAGGTTGGTAACTGGGAAGAGCAATGGAATTCCTTGTGTGGGAGCTCGGGGTGTTGAAATAAACCAGTTATCAGTGCTGTATTAAATCCTGAATAATTGTCCAATCCCCCAACTATTTCCTTCTTTCCAACCAGTGCTGAATATATTGATCAGGTTTGATTATATTGATATATAATCAGTGCTGAATATATTGACCTAGGATTTCCTAGGTTCTTGGGAGAAGAGGTTTGCATATAAACCTTCATCACCAGAACTAATTTAAAGGGAGATTTTAGTTATCTTAAAGATGACATAAAACATTTGCAAGAGTGCTGAAGTCTGTAGCATGGCCTCCTGGGGAACCTGTCATCAGGCTTGTATCTTCTCTATTCTGATATATCTCAGATAATTTCTACTCTCTATAGCCCCTCTGTAACTACTTTTCATTCAGCCTTCTTTTCTTGCCCAGTCTATTGAAATAGACTTGTCATTTTTCTCTTGGCTTTAGTATTGCCAAAGTCAGTTCATTCCTAATACTTTCCTCAGATGTACATATTTAAGAGCATAACTCATCATGCACAACTGTTCCTTAAAATCCTTCAGTAGATGCTCAGTGCATATAGAGTGACATTAACTCCTTGATGTGATATATGCACAGTAGTTTATATCTTTCAAATCTCATTTTCTGCCACTTCCTTTTTTTGCAGCAACCCCATACATTCCCTACAAGTGATCAGTTGATAATTGCCTATAAGGAACATATCACCTCCTGTCAACCCACAACTAACTTGTCATATCTCTTATCCAATATGACTTTTCAGCTTAACTGACTTCTTCGTGAACTTCTTTGTGAAGGCTTCCACGTTTCCTCCTTTAACAAGCTTCTGCCCAGCTCCAAACACTTACTAGGCTCTAGTGAGATAGTGGTGAACAGATGCAGAACTTATCCTCTTAGAGACAAATGAGGAAACAATTACAATAGAAATTAATCAGTGCTCTGACAGGATATACAAGGGTAGAGCCAAATCTACTTGGGGATTTAGGGAAGGCTAATCTGTACTTGGGGAATTAGGGAAGACTTTCTGGAGGAGATGACATCTAAAGTGAGACATAAAGGGTAAAAAGAATTACAATGGAATGAGTAAGGAAAAGGGCTTCCCTCTTAAAGATGACATAAAACATTTGCAAGAGTGCTGAAGTCTGTAGCATGGCCTCCTGGGGAACCTGTCATCAGGCTTGTATCTTCTCTATTCTGATATATCTCAGATAATTTCTACTCTCTATAGCCCCTCTGTAACTACTTTTCATTCAGCCTTCTTTTCTTGCCCAGTCTATTGAAATAGACTTGTCATTTTTCTCTTGGCTTTAGTATTGCCAAAGTCAGTTCATTCCTAATACTTTCCTCAGATGTACATATTTAAGAGCATAACTCATCATGCACAACTGTTCCTTAAAATCCTTCAGTAGATGCTCAGTGCATATAGAGTGACATTAACTCCTTGATGTGATATATGCACAGTAGTTTATATCTTTCAAATCTCATTTTCTGCCACTTCCTTTTTTTGCAGCAACCCCATACATTCCCTACAAGTGATCAGTTGATAATTGCCTATAAGGAACATATCACCTCCTGTCAACCCACAACTAACTTGTCATATCTCTTATCCAATATGACTTTTCAGCTTAACTGACTTCTTCGTGAACTTCTTTGTGAAGGCTTCCACGTTTCCTCCTTTAACAAGCTTCTGCCCAGCTCCAAACACTTACTAGGCTCTAGTGAGATAGTGGTGAACAGATGCAGAACTTATCCTCTTAGAGACAAATGAGGAAACAATTACAATAGAAATTAATCAGTGCTCTGACAGAATATACAAGGGTAGAGCCAAATCTACTTGGGGATTTAGGGAAGGCTAATCTGTACTTGCGGAATTAGGGAAGACTTTCTGGAGGAGATGACATCTAAAGTGAGACATAAAGGGTAAAAAGAATTACAATGGAATGAGTAAGGAAAAGGGCTTCCCCGGTGGTGCTAGTGATAAAGAATCTGCCCGCCAATGCAGGAGATGCAGGTTCTCCTGCATGGGTTCGATCCATGGGGTGGGAAGAACCCCTGGAGGAAGGCATGGCAACCCACTCTAATATTCTTGCTTGGAGAATCCCATGGACAGAGGAGCCTGGTGGACTACAGTCCATAGGGTCGCCAAGAGTTGGACACAACTGAAGCAATTTAGCACACATGCATGCATGCAAGTAGAGAAAAGGCAGATGGTGGATAGCAGAAAAGGAGAAGAAAGAATGTGAAAGGTCTAACAGCAAGAGGACTTGGAAAAAAGATGTGGTTTGTGTGTGCAATTGGGGCTGGTGACTATCGGCAGTAAAACATGAAACGGAGGCCACATAATAGAGGAGTTTGGCTGTGTTTATCCACCCCAGGTTTTTGGACATTATTATGTGGCAGTCATTATGTTAATGCTGGATTCATAATAATGGTGAACAAGATAAGCAGAGTCTACCCTCACTCAGCTTGCAGTCTAGGTAGGAAGACACATGGGTAGCAACACAAAGGACAAGTTGTATGAGAGACGAGGTTAGAATCCACTTAGAGTGAGTAGAACTAGCACAGGCGCCTGAAAAAGAGTGTTTCTGGGCACCAAGGAATGGTGCGTGCAGATGCCTGGAGAGGAAAGAGGACTGAATGATCAGTCTGGGAAGCTGAAAGACACCAAGGATGACTGGTTTCGAGAGAGGGTAGTTGAAACAGAAGAGGTAGGTTGGGGCTGGGTCACTACGGGCCTTGCAGACTTTTGTGAATGTGTTCCTTATCCTAAGACACGGGAAGCCATTCAAGAAATTGCTCCTGAGAGTAGATCCCCAAATCTGAAACTTGACTCCTGCTTCACACCATTCATGAAAATCAATTCCAGGTGGATTTGTAGATCTAAATATATTGTAGATATATTGTATATTTAGATACAATATCTAAATGTATTGGGTATCTAAATATATTGTATATTTAGATCTATATTGTAGATCTAAATATTAACAGGCAGATAATAAATCAGCTAGAAGATGATCTGGAAAACATCTTTATGGACTTGAAGATAAGCAAACATTTCTCAGCAGGAATCAAAAAGCACTGGCCATAAAGGAAATGATTGATAAATTGCACAATGCTAAAGTTAAGGAGTGTCTTTTCTTAATTTTAGGAAACCCGTGATGGAAGATGGTATTCGTAATACATATAACTGACAAAGGGTTCATATTCAGAATCTATAAAGAGCATCAGTCAATCAGTAAGGAAAATACAGACAACTTAATAGAGAAATGGACAAATCTTGAACAGGGATTTCACAAAAGAATATCCAAAGGTCAATAAACATATGAAAATATGTTCAAACACAATAGTAATCAGGGAAATCCTGATTCTTACTGCTGCCACTGAAGTTCAGTAATTTTTCTCAAGTAAACACCTCTCAGTGTTTTGTATACCAAGGCTCTGATGGTTTTGACAGCTTTGTTTTACAGTTTGATTATTGCTTTTTAGGGAGAGGATTTTTCTGAGTTCCTCACTGAGCCATTCTCGAAGTACTTATCTCCATTATAAAGGTGTGGAAATTAAGGCCGGACAGGATAGAAAAACATCTACTTTTGCTTTATTGACTATGCCAAAGCCTTTGTGTGGATCACAATAAACTGTGGAAAATTCGTCAAGAGATGGGAATACCAAACCACCTGACCTGCCTCCTGAGAAATCTGTATGCAGGTCAAGAAGTAACAGTTAGAACTGGACATGGAACAAGACTGGTTCCAAATCGGGAAAGGAGTATGTCAAGGCTGTATATTTTCACNCAGTCCTGAATATTCATTGGAAGGATTGATGCTGACGCTGAAACCCAATACTTTGGCCACCTGACGCAAAGAACCAACTCATTGGAAAAGACCCTGATGCTGGGAAAGATTGAAGGTGGGAGAAGGGGACGACAAAGGATGAGATGGTTGGATGGCATCACCAACACGATGGACATGAGTTTGAGTAGGCTTCGGGAGTTGGTGATGGACAGGGAAGCCTGGCATGCTGCAGTCCATTGGGTATCAAAGAGTCAGACACAACTGAGCGACTGAACTGACTGACTATATCTTGACCCAACTCAAATAGCTGAGCACTGGTACAGTGAAGATTGAGTTTGGGTAGACTTTGCTGATAGAATATTAACATGTATTGGAATAACATGGGGTCTGTTCTCCTAATGCTTCAGTCATTAATATGCAATAAAAGTCACTTAAAGGCATGGATCCATGCCTGATAGATTCCATCAGTCATTTAGAAATTACTTCATACAATTTTTTCACAGGTGAAAATATTTCAAAGTATTTTTCCTATTTCAGGTTCCAGCATCTCCTTAGAAAGAAGAATAGAAAATCAGCCAGTGTATGATGTTTTGTACCCGTTAGATGAAAGCTGTAATAAGTGGAGAATGGCTAGTTTTATTTTTCAGTGCATTGAAACTCTTCACATGAGAGCATCATAGAGTCTGTTTAATGCATTTGCTAACAATCCTCTGCAAATTGGAATTTCCTCAAAAAGAAAATATGTGATAAAACTTAACAGCAGTTTGGATTATTTTTGCAATAGAGTTTCAAATACTTTTTTGATGACCACACAACTAACCGAAACATAGTAATGAGCATACATATTAATGCTAAATTATCTTTTTCTCTGTGCTTTGAAATGATACCATATTCCTGTGCCTGCAGTTACCTTTGCCCTGGGTATTCCCACTGTCAACAGAGGAAATTATAGTTACCTGAAGCAAACACTGACCTCTCTCCTCTCCAGGATGACTCTTCCAGAAGAGAAGGACTCTGTGGTGATCGTCTCTATCGCCGATGTATGTATGAAAAATGAATGGTCCCCTCACTTCTAACCCATAGTCTCTAAACACTGTGGTAATCACAGTGGTAATTTCCTCTGTAGTAATCACTGCATCATGTTGAATTTTATCTTAAATTTTAAAAAGCATCTGCTAGATGCCTTTTTTGAATAACAATGTATTTAATACTTGTTTGATACCACCATCAGTTTAAGGGAAATGAAACAGTTCTATGTGGATAAATATGATTATATTGTTAAATATGTTACCAGGAGCCCTGTATACTATAAGGTACAGAAATTATATTTAAAAACAGGACATTTAAATGGGTGCTATAGTAATAAAACCTGTCTAGCCCAAGAAAAGGTTGGTATATGAATCAAGAGATAATTTGTATTAAGTCACTGTAACTATGATTAGTTGAGGGACTCCTTTCTATGTCTGAAGGATTGTGGACAATTTTTATATACATTATTTATAACCTGCATTGCATTCCCTATAAAGTAGGTATCCAGATGAAAAACCTGGATCTTAAAGTAAATAGTTTTCCCAGCACTTAGTAGAGCATGTTCAAATCTGCATCTCTCTAGTGGCCCAAAGTTTTCTGTCTTGCCTCTAATGCCATGTAAAATTGTACAGTGTGGTATAAATATTAACACCATAAAAGGTGTTTCAGAGGGGAATTTGGCAGAAGGTATCAGATTTTAAATGTGTCTATCCTTTGAATCAGAAATCTCAAGTCTTGGGAGTTATCCTAAAGAGATAATCAAGCAAGAATTTAAAAATAATAAAAATGTGACAGTAGACAGTGACAGTATGTTTGTTGTACACAGTATAGTACAAAATGTGCCAATATGATTGAGAACAGAGCCTGGATCTAGATTGCCAAGGTTCAGATGCCAGCTGCTCCACTTCCTGCCTTGTGAACGTGAACAAGTTACTTAACTTCTCCATGCTTCACTCTCCTTATTTGTGAAATAGTGATGATATTGCCTACAGTATATGGATGTTTTGGCCATTAAATTAGCTAGTATTTGGGGAGTATTTACAGTGATGTATGTCACATAGCAAGTGTTCAGTAAGTGACAATTTCAAAGATTTTCAGTGCACTGTTGTTTTATAATACAGCATATTAGATACAGTCAAAATAGTTATCAGTGAGAGGGTAAGTACTTTTGTCTATGTTGCAATAATTTGTAACCATTGAAAGAATGGATATCCATATTCAGTGATATAGAAGATGTCCGTATCATATTATTGACTGAAAAAAGTTGTAAAGTATCATGTTTGAGATTATATTATCTATAGAAACTGTGATAGAAGAAAGGAAGCAAGGAAAAATAGATGATAGAATACATAAAAAAAAACAATGAACAAACCTCAAAATGATGATCTTCAAAATATTAATAATGGTTATCTCTGGATATTGGGAGGTTTTTTTTTTCCATTTATTTTTATTAGTTGGAGGCTAATTACTTTACAATATTGTAGTGGTTTTGCCATACATTGACATGAATCAGCCATAGATTTACATGTGTTCCCCATCCCTATCCCCCCTCCCGCTTTCCGCTCCATCCCATCCCTCTGGGTCTTCCCAGTGCACCAGCCCTGANTTTACTGTTGGCACATCTGCCTAAAATGTTTAGACCAATAATAAAATATTGGGGGACAAATTTTAAAATGGAATATAGAATGCTTAAGAGGTATAACTTTAGTAGTACGTTTAACATATGTTTCAGTGGTTAAGAAATAGCTTGTGATTCCATTTTTGGCTATCTGAAGAAACTGAAGTACTATAATAGAGTGGTCTGTATCATGGCTGAGCGTTTTAAACAAGCAGTCTAACTATATACATTCAAAGTTGCCTTTCAGACTACTTGGATTTGACAGTAGTAGAACTATAAGTATTCAAATATTCTCAAAATTTTGTGTTGGGAATGCTTGTGGGCCCTGAGGCTACATGTTATAAATGCCATAGGTTATGTAAAAAAAAAATTACCTGAAAGTATAAGCCATCAAAAACTACTTACAACACATGTAAATCCATGGCTGATTCATGTCAATGTATGACAAAACCCACTACAATAAAAAAAAAAAGCTACTTACAGATGAATCTGTCACCTAACATAGCAGAGTACATACACACAGTTTGCTGATGAAAGGAAATTTGGGAATCAAGCCAACAAATACTCTCTCGAAAAATGTGTAATTTTAAAGAAAGCTCCTTGTAGTACAATACTCATAAAATGAAGACACTTTCAAAAAAGGGCAGTTCTTTGAAATAAGCCATCCCATTCTTAGGACAAAACTGTTTTAGATACATAAGTTTTTGTGTACTAATTTCTAATTGTAAATAATGTGTAGTGATATTTCATATTATGACAAAGGGAGAATAAAGTGTTTTCAATATTCCAGTCAGATCTTTTAGATGCATGAATATTTTAAATTCTTTCATAGAAAGTAGAAACAGTAGAAATATTAAGACATATAACATTCCACACATAAACTAGATTTACATGTATTAGTAGAACTATGAGGCATGCTTCTTCATTTTAGTAAAATATTTCTCTCATTTTTAGAGTAACGAAAATTATGTAAAATCCGTGGTTGACATGATTACAAAAAAGTAAGTACTGTGTGATAAATTTAAAAATAACTGTTCTTTCATTTTTCTGTCCAATTACATGATTTTATTAGTGTCTTATTCTATTTAATGGGTGTAACTGTGCAGAAAAAAATATCATGTAGCTCTATCAATGCTGTGATGAAATGTAGCTTATAATTTCCCCCCAATTCTGTACATCATCTACCTATTAAAGTCCATATTTGTCATGATATTATTTTTATACTATCTATTCTTCATGAAATCCATGGCCTCCAAGAGAAGCCTGCTGGATTATTTTTAAAGCATTCTTGTGTTCCTTACTGTATGAAGTTATCCCAGCTTCTGCTTAGAATCTCCTGCTGCATGCAGCCCAGGAGATGCAAGCACGTGCTGATGAACCAATATGAAATTTTTTATCAAGCAAGATGCTGTAGAATGGACCCAGCCTTCCAAATCCTTATGCTTAAGTGGGCCATACAACTGGCGAGAAAAAAAAAAGCAAGTCCCAGCAAGGAAGCTGGTGGAATGGGAAGGGCAATGTGAGAACGAAGCATTTAACTCTAGGTTCAGCCAAGAAGGACTTTCATTAGAACTTAATAATTGGACTGCGTGCAAGTGTAATTTGACATGTTTCGGGCAGACAGGAGAAGAGAATGCCTGGCAAATAGAATTGCTTGGGAAGGCAGAAGGTCCAAAGAAGGAGTTTGTTGGGGAGGGACTGTAAGGACTGAATGTAGTAGATGTTTGGAATTAAGGAGGAAAGACTGATGGGAGATAAGGCAGGTCATGATGAGATCATGAAAAGCCTTATGATCAGTGCTAGGGCTGTGTGCTATTTGTGCTACAAGCTAGGGTTGCCTTCAAGCTGAATCTGGTTAACAGACATGCTTGTTTCAGCCAGCAGTGCTTTGCTTTTTTTGTTTTTCCCTCACCAAATAGCTCTAGCGGATGAAGCCAACTTATTCTAGCTAAAAGAATTCCAGTCAGTGACTGTGGAATGCATAGAATTGGCAGCTCGCCATTTTGAAACATAACTGATTCAGGCATATCATGAAGTGACTGACAGGTGGAGGGGAAGCTTTCAAGGAAGGTGTATCAGTCAGCAGCCAAATGGGAAACTCTTGGTGGTTCAGAGAGAGGAAATAGAGACAATTTAATACAAAAAAATTGGCCAAGGAACTCCCCTGGTGGTCCAGTGGCTAAGACTCCTTGATCCCAATGCAGGGGTCCAGGTTCAATCCCTGTTCAGGGAACTGTTAATAGATCCTACATGCCCTGACATGACTAAGACCCAGTGCAGCCGAATAAATAAATATAAAAAATAAAATTATAAAATTAGCCAAAAAAGTTCACAAGAGCTGAGAGAAGAAAAAGAAGGAGAAAGGAGACAGGAGAATCGTAACGGAAGAGGGGGTTGTGCCCCGAGGTCTGAGGCTGTGCGCGGCTGCTACGCTGTGCTCGATGCTGGGACACAGCCCTGTTGCTCCTGGCGGTGCTGCCCGGTCGCTGCGCTCCAGGCCGCTGCCGGAGACTTCTCCAGAAACCAGCCTTGTGGACAATATCCTCCTACTGCCTTCCGGTCTCTTTCCTTCCTGCCTCCCATGGGACTACCTGGAAGGAGCAGGCAACGGGTCTTGGAATGGTGGCTTGCAGACCCCCACCCTACAATATCTGGCACTGTGGAAGTGGGGAAATGGGGGCTGAGAACAGATGGATAATTGTTAATAGGGGGAAGGGATCAAGTTCCCCTCCCTGACCCTCTAATCGGGGCCTGTGTTACTGCAAGTTAGAGAGTCAGACATTTGTGCCTTCTGTTATGATGCAGTGGAAATGCACCAAGAAATAACTGTGGGGTGTATTTGGTCACCAACCTCAAAACAAAACAAAACGAAACGACCTTGAATCTGTCAATGAAAATTTAATTAATAAGTTAAGGAAAAAGAGAATTTTAGTAGAGCCTAATTAGGATTAAAACCTTGGAGACAGACTGTCAGAAGCTCTGAGGACTGTTCCTTCCCCCTGGTAGAAGTCAGTTGCATTTTTGAGACAGAGGATCATACATCAAAATGAGAGTGCTGGTCTACCTAAAGTTCCCCAAAGATACATAGTCCAGATAAGCACATACAAAGTGAGCAGTAAGTCACTACAAACCCTTACAGAGTTGAGAAAGGATACTAATCTTCTAATAAACTTATGCCAGAAGAAAGGGGGAAGAAAAAGGATCTTTATGGATTAGCTGGCACTCCCATGTTTGAGGGGGTCTGGTTAATGTGTGTGGAATGCAGAGGCACATGGTACACTGGGGGAGAGGGTTGGGACAAAGAATTTTATGCTTAAATTTTTTTGTCCTGCCTTAAAATATACATTTTATCTCATCAAATTTAATCACGCCTTTAGAGCTAAGCTCCAGTTCAGAGTATACACAGTGAGAGGAGAAAGTAATCTGGAGCAAACCCCTAGGATGTGGGACCTTCTTTAGGACAGCTGACCCACTTCCTTCAAAATGACAGTTGCATGGGGGAAAAGAAAGAAAGAAAAACTATAGTGACTGGTCTAGATAATAAGCTTAAAAAAGAAATAACAGATAACCAATTACAATGAGAGGATCTTAAGTGGATACTCACTTGAACATCTTATCCCCATCCCCCACCTTTAGACCCTGTACTTAAACTACTAGGGATTTGTGAATATCCACTGAGTATTATGTGATGTTAAATAATTACTCTTAGTTTTGTGAGATGTGATCCTATCATGTCGTTACATAAATATAAATTTCCTTTTACAATTTCACACTGAAGAATTTAAGGGTAAAATATGATATATATGATTTGTTTTAAAATTCTTAAGGAAAGAATGTGGACTGCATAGATGAACAAGTTAAAAAAATTAATGGTTGTTAAATCAGGTGATTTGGGATTTGCATATTTTGGGTAATTTTCATAGTAAAATTTTCAAAAATTAGTCTCTTCTAAATGAGCTTAACTGACGGGGAGAAATGTTAAAATTAGCTCGAGGGAGACATGTTTGGGGAGTTCTGAGATGGGAGCAACTTGAGGGTTTTTCTGTGTGCTCAGGTGAAAAGGGAGGAAGCTGATAGAGCAAGGACTGCAGGGGATTGGATGCAAGGTGCACATGGAGATGTAGGCAGGACTAAGTGAAAAAAAGATGAGAATGGGTGAAAGAGTAAGACAAAATTGTTTGGACAAGGAAGGTGTAATGAAACAGTCCCCTCCTTAAAGGTAGCTCTCTCTCTCCTCTGTGAGAGAGGTAAAGATCATACGTTGAGAATGAGGAGCTAACTGGCAGCCTATAAACTTGAGAACAGTATGGAAGGCTTGAAATAGCTGATGTGTATAAAAGGAGACAGAGTTGAGCAAAACTAAATAAAACACCATGGATGTCTAGTTTTCCCCAAAGATGTCCTAGGAAAAAAGTTGTGTTATACGCAAATCCTTAAAATGCCCTCATATCCCATGCTATCCTACCAGTTGCTTTACTCTGAATGATAAACCACTGTTCACAGAAGACACATTATCCTGAAATGGCATTAATTCATGCTAGTTTGATATCCTTATTAGCGATTCTTGACAGAATCAGCTAAAAAGAATACACAGGTTTACAAATATTTCCTGTGGATATGACTACAAAATCGCAAGCAATTATTTCATGACCATTAAACATTGGTCAAAATGTTTAATACTCTCTGACAGCTATAAATGTATAGAAAAATGAAAAATATAGTAAAACTAATATTCATCTAGTACACTGTAATTTAAAACGTGGAGACATGAAAAATGCTAAACATCACTAACATCAGGGAAATGCAAATCAAAAATCACAGTGAGATATCACCTCATGACTGTCAAAATGGCTATCATCAAAAAGTCTACAAATAATATATATTGGTGAAGGATGTAGAGAAAAGGGAATGCTTGTGCACTGTTGCTGGGAATGTAAATTCATGCAGCCACTAACTGTGGAGAGTCCCCCCAAAACTAAAAGTAGAACTGCTGTAAGATCCAGCAATTCCACTGCTGGGTGTGTATCTGAAGAGAATGGAAACACTAGTTAGAAGAGAAACATGCATCCCTGTGTTCATAGCTTTGTTTGTAATAGCCAGGATATGGAAGTAGCCTAAGTGCCCATCGAGAGATGAATGGATAAAGATGTGAGATATGTGTATATATCAGGGAATGCTGGGCTTCCCAGGTGGCTCAGGGGTAAAGAACCCACCTGCCAAATGGCAGGAGATGCAGGTTCGATCCCTGGTTTGGGAAGATCTCTCTGGAGTGGGAAATGGCCACCCACTCCAGTATTCTTGCCTGGAAAATCCCATCGACAGAGGAGGCTGATTGAGCTACAGTCCATGGGGTCACAAAGAGCCGGAGAAGACTGAGCACAACACCACAACAAATGGAGTATTACTCAGCCATAAAAAAGAAAGGCATTCTGCCATTTGCAACAACATGGATGGATTAGGGAGTATTACACTTAGTGAAATAAGTCAGAGAAAGACAATATCCTGTTACCACTTACATGTGAAATCCAAAAAATAAGTGTGCACATAACAAAACAGACAGATGCACAGATAGAGTGGGGAGAGGACAGGGGAGGAGTGAGATGCAGCCACGGACAGCTGTGTATAAAATAAATAAGCAACAAGGAAATGCTGTACAGCACAGGGAAATATAGCCATTATTTTGTAATAATTTTAAATGGAGTATAATCTATAGAGATGTTGAATCACTGTGTTGTACACCTGAAACGAATATAATTTTGTAAACCAACTATACTTCAATTAAAAAATAAATAAAACATGGAAATCATTGAGAATAAAGTATTTCATTTAGAAAATTTATTAAGAGTAGTTTAAGCATTGTTTGCCTTTTTCCTGTCCTATAACTTAAAATTCAGAGTGAACATTTTTTTATGCCTTGGCAAATTGTCATTACTCCTGAGTTTGGATCAGGCACCTACATTTTATCATTTACATTTTCAATGTCAGGAAACATCTCTGAGTGTTCCTTTAACGTGAAGATTTTTGCCAGCGTCATATCCTACAGGATATCCTTTCTGCTACAAGCATCTTCCTCATTTATGTCAGGCAAGTTCACCTTCACTTCGCAGTTGTGCTGCACACCCCGGGTCTCTGGAGAGTGAAGGTGTCAACATTCCCAAGGTCTGTGATCATTTAGTTGCATCCAGAGAAAGTTCCAGCGTTATCACTATCTGTACTTTCACCTATTAGCCAGTCCCCTCTTTTGGTTATTTTGTTCAGTGTCACGTGGGTTTGTTTATTACTAGGAGACCAGGAGGCAACACAGTTGCATGTTTTGCTGGCTACCAGTGACCTGAAAAGCAGATGCATGGTGACCAGTTACCAGCAGACTTGGGGAGAAGTGACGAGATGACGTGCATCTGTTACTTGTGTAGCGATTTATGAACTGAGGAGTTGGGAAGTGAAGTTTGTACTTTATACAGTTATTCAGCTAATATTCCATGAAGACTCACATTTGAAAAGTGTTGGGGAAAACGGACATTATTTAATTAAAATGTAACTGAAATTCAAAGCGAGGACTGCCTGTTTTGCACCTAATTCAAATCATGCATATAAGCTCTGTCCTGCTTCCATTTTAATAAATAATGCCATGCCTAGATTTAAATCTCATTTAAAGTCACATTATTTTTCTCTTATGGAAAACCATTTAAAATGCTCTACCTGGTCTCTCATTATTACCTTGATGGTACAAGATTTATAGTACAGCTTTTGTGAGCAGTATTTTATGCATTTTAATGATGTCCTTATTGGTCTATAAATGTTAACTTTTAAAAATAAAGAGACTAAAAAATACTCCTCCAAAGAATTGTGGACAAGAGTCACACTTAATCCTTTCTATAACAGTCTGATTTCAGGAGCCACATTGTTATTTGGTAGGACTCTTATTAAACTAAAATTATGCATTTAAATCTTCTAATGTTCTTGCTTTTTTGAAGTTACTATATTGTGCTAACTAGTCAATTAACTTGCATCTGTTAGAGTGCATATCTGATTGAAAACTTGAAAAATTCAGAGTACTTATAATTTTTATAAGAGGAAATTAATTTTATATTGTATATTGTAATTTTTTACATGTGTCACTGACTTAAAAAAGAAATATTTTGGCTTAAAAAGTATTAGTTTTATGATGTCATTATCAGAAACATCATGAAGTAATTCAGATCAAAATACTGTATGGATATACATAAGGAACTTCTTTTTAATTGTATGATTTTGCTAAATCAAATTCAATTATACACCTCTACTTCTGTTTATAGATTCAAAAGGCAGGTGACATCTGGATCCTTAGAAGTCATTTCAATACCTGCTTATTTTTATCCAAACATATCACATGCCGCCGGATCAACTGACGACTCAGAAAAATTAGAGAGGTATGATATATTGAAAAGTGGTATCCTTAAATAACTGGCTTCATCTGATAAAATGTTAGACTTAGCATGTAGTAGTTAATATTTGATGCACAGTGGTGTGCTGAAGCCAGCTTCTGTTGGCTGGCACCTAGATGCTATTAATACTCCCAGCTTTTCTATTTGCTGATCATCTGAGGCAGGTAATTTAGCCTTTTTTCCTTAACTTCCCCAACTTTCTAGTGTGTATAATAAAATCCACATTATGTATATGGGAAAGGCATTGTGAAAACAAAATAGTCGTGTTTATGAAAGAATTCTAAAAAATAGAAAGCTCCGTACACATACAAAGGATTGCTATTGTTCAATTATAAATGTGGTATGTATTACAAGAAGTATAATAATTTGGTTCCTCAAAACTCAATAGAGCAAAAGACACTAAGATTCAGAAAAAGGTCTTATCCAGGAAGCTTATTGGCACTGGGTTCTTTTTTTAAGTAATAAATGGTATGTCCAAATCTAGATATCTTTTAAAGATCTTGTTTTGCTGTTAATGACCCACACTTTACTCAGTTTTTAGAGTCCCAGAGCTGAGGGACATTCTAGATCCTTGTTTTCCTTCTGTCCTTCTTGACTCCATCATCATTTCACTTTTAGATTCTCTCTCTGCATTATCCCTCTCATCCCCAGTCCTCTGCCTTGAGCTTAGTTCAGACCATTGGAGATTTATTGGCTTCCCTTAATCCTAGCCTAGCCTTACCTCCAATTCATTCTCCGTATTCTATCCAGAAGAATCCTTTTTCATATGAGATATATAGTTTCCTGCATGTCATGAAAGACCCTTCATGAGCAGGCCCCTGCTGATCTCACTGTCCTCGACTTCCTTTCCATCAGCTCACGGTGTTCTCAGAGGTGGGTTGCTCCTTCACACATCCATGCCTTTGCAGTACTGCCCCTCTACACTGAATGTTCTTCTTCCTTCTGCTCCGCCCTCCCCATCTTATTATAAGTCATCATTGTCCATATCTTTATGTAATACCTGTCTGATGGCTCTGTTTATGATTTTTCTGTTTTTCCTGCTAGATTATGAGACCCAGAAGGGCAGGAACCACGCTGTGTATTGCTCTCTGGAGCTTCAGGACCTGGCCTAGTATCTGTTGTTGTTCAGTTGCTAAGTCGTGTCCAACTCTTTGCAACCCCATGGACTGTAGCCCACGAGGGTCCTCTGTCCATAGGATTTTCCTGGCAAGAATACTGGAGTGTTTTGCCATTTCCTCCTCCAAGGGGATCTTCTTGACCCAGGGATTGAACCTGAGTCTCCTGCGCTGGCAGGCAGATTCTTTACCACTGAGCGACTAGGGAAGCCCAGCCTAGTATCTGGTTTAGTATTAAATTAGTATAATGGTTCTTCATACTTTTGTTTAAACAAGACCTAAGATCAGGAAGAATATTAACTTTATTATATAAATGGTAATTTGACTAACCAAAACATAAAATAAGTAGATTGTGCTTATCCTGGTTTAGTAATGGCAGACATTGCCCACTGAATAAAGTTGGAAAACCTTTTAGTATAACTTTAGTACAAGATATTCAGTTTCACTTAACGTGGAGAGTACTTTCTGTGAGTAAAGTGTAAAAGAAGTTTGTTTTTAATTACTGAGATATGCTTATAAATAAAAATTAAATAAAATGAAAAATGTTAACAAATTTATTATTTATCTCTAGTTGGAGAATCAAACAAGTATTAGATTTTTGTTTTTTGATGCTGTATGCCCAGCCCAAAGCTATGTATTATTTACAGGTAAGACCTTATTTAGATACATAATTGAAAGTGGAAGTATTATATCCTCCTTCTCTCCTTCCATTACTTCCTTCCTCATTGTAGCCCTCCACTTGACTCTGTACTTAAAAAGTGGAAAATATCCATTATATTAAAACACCAAAAGGAAGCTTAAAATTGGTTCTGTGTCAGTCTTCTTTCTGGGTCACTGTTAACAGAGGAAATTATGATTACATGAAGCAAATGGAAAAAAAAATCTCAAATTAGCAAGAAAATAAATTATATTACTTACATTTTTTCTATCCACAAGTATATTAGATTAAGCACACGTATTTTGGGCACTTATGTTAGACACTATATATGTACAGTTATCATTGCTATTCTGTGTTGCCCCATTTTATGAGTAACACAGCTCTACAGTGTCTTATGTGTTTGTGAAATAAATCAACTGTATATAATTTGTACCTTCTAAATTCCTGCGTGATGTTAAATAATAATATCACATTTCCAACAGTAAGTATATACCACACATGAGAGAGTGCACAGTTGTGACAGGAGTCTGCAGATTGTCACTGGAGAATAGAGAGGGAATTTGAAAAAGGCCTGAAGCCAGATCTTCTCTTTTTACAGTAAGAAACCAAAATCCCTTTCAATTCCTAGTTAGAGACAATGTAATGGAAACACAAGATGCAGCCAATGTACTCATCCCCTTTGGGAAGAACAGGATTCTATTTTGTGCCCTGGTATTGTGCCTGAGGACTTGCGCATCTTCCCAGATCATTTAGGAACCCCTTTTCATCTATAGGTTCCACATAATACACATTAAACTTAAAAAGGAAATTCTAATTTCCTTTCCACCCCACCCCCTCATGGAGATCTATTTCTAGGCTTATTGGCACCATACTTCTAACCAGCTAGGTGAGGCCAAGAGTGCCAGCTCCCTTTTGTCACCTCTTTGCCAAGCACAATATTTGGCACCAGAACGTGGCACTTATCAACTAAGCGTAAAGCCAGTTAGTCCTAACCAAGAAACTAAATAGTTGTGAGTGTGAAAATGAACCCAGGTGGATAGACTCTTCTGAAGAGGATTTAGATTGAATGTTACTTATTAGTATTTAGGAAAGAAACTGATAATCTCTGGTCTCAGAATTAGAAAATGAAAATTGACTAACAGGAAATAACCTCAACATGAATTGAGCTAAAAAAGCAATCTACTGCATCATAAAAATGTGTTTTTTTTTTCTGTTGTATTTTCAATTTTCAAGCTAATTTGTTCCAGGGAAGCATCAAAGGTACTAATGCCACCCCCCCCCTTTTTTTTAAGCTGGAAGATGATATCATAGCTAACAAGATGTACCTTACAAAAATCACAGATTTTGTACATACCATCACTTCAAATAATTGGCTTTATATTGAGTTTTCAGTTCTTGGATTTATAGGTAAGCAGTGGATCTATTTTTGTGGGGTCAACATTTTCAGTACAAAAGTTTTTAAGAACTTATCAAAGAGATTGTTACTCAAGGGAAAGGAATGGCATAATTTCTGTAAAGATACTATTAGTTTAGCAGAAAGATTAGATTCGAGAACCTGAATTTCAGAAAATGTGTTTTTAAACCAAATTTTTTGTAGATAAACAGTATAAATAAGCAGATTGACATATATTCACATGTTACAAAAACATAAGGCAGCTATTACTGATAAATGCTAGCTCTGAGTCTGGCACATATTAGCACAGTGACTAAGATGTACTTCTATATTACATAGAAAAATATTGAAACCGAAAAAATTAAAGTTATAAAGGAAGAAATTTTAACAGGACTATTGTACTCTGAAGGCCTTTCAATTTCTAGTATGCTGAAGCTAACATGCTTAAAAAATGTAAAAACATAGGAATTATACCCAGCACAGAAAAGTTCCTAAAATTGTGCCCATAATGTATTGTTTTTATAATTCTTCTATAGACTTTCCTTTTGCTTCCTTCCATTTTTTCCTTCCATCCTTCTATCCCGTTTTCTTTTATTTAACCCTCACTGCAGGAGGCCAGGTTACCTAACTCGCTTCATATTGCATTTCATCTTTGTTTACAAGCAGGAGACCTTTTTTATTCTTCTGTTTAAAGCACCCCCCACTTCCACCCACTCTCATGATAGGTTTGCACTCAATATATTTCATCTAGAATATATATATAAATACCAGATACCATGCAAAAGATTTGTTGTTCATTGTGTTTGTACTTGTTTAAAATTTACATAAATGGTGATTTGATTAACATATTTCTGTTCCTTATGTTTTTGTCCACAAAACTAGATTATATAGCTGTCTATATGTTGCTTTATTTTCATTTTCCTTACTGTTGCATAAGTGCTACATAATAATCTATTTGACTTGTCCATTCCCAGAGTGGTGGACCTTGACTGCTTCTAGCTGTCTGCTGCCACAAAGAAATGGAGTGATATATATGTGTCCTAGGATGGGATCACTGGGGTAAACATAGCCAGGTCTCAAAAGTACTGCCAGACTGCTTTGCAGGTTGACTGTGTAGTATATACTGTCATAGGCAGTACATCTGAGTTCCTGCTTCCCCATATACTTGAAAACATTTGATTTTATCCATTAAAATTTTTGTTTGCCATGGAGAGGAGAATAAAGCATCTCTTTGACTGCTAGTCATCTGTTCTTCCATATCTACCACTTCATATACTGACCCCTTTCCCCTGCAAAGTTTCTGTAAAGTGGTGTGGATTACAATTTTAAAACTCTATAAGTTTTTTTTTTTCCCTCAGCTTTGGTTACAATAAAAAGAAAAATTGTAGGTGACAGTAATACCCGCTGAAAGCTTGGAGAGATAATTTTGTTGGTTTATTACTTTGAGAATTTTAAGTTCTTTTTGCCTTTCTCATAAAAGTCAGGTATTAGAAGAATAGAGAATATTCACAAGAAACACTATATGTATGATACTGAATTCTTATTTAAGCTTAAATCTATAAAGGCTTCATTTTCTTTGTTATCAAAGTAACAATTCTGTTTTTCAGTATTTTCCAAAAATATGAGCTTGCTAATAGAATTTTCAAAATGCTGGCAGCAGATAAACAGATATTAAATCAACTATTTCTATCATTAAATCACTTGTTTTGGTTACTATGTACATAGGTGCCTAAAATTCAAATACAACCATACACTTGATCAAGTGACCCATATAGACTCAAGTCTTAGTGAAAAATGAAGTTCCTACATCATACTATCATATTTATTAGGTAGCTAGATGTGTTTTACACTGTTTAAGGTGAAAATTTATCTGAATCTTATACCTTCAGCTTTATTTTTCAAGTTAAAGATGCAATATGTTAGAAATAAATAATTAGATGTAATTAAATCATACTTTAAAATACAGTAAATCTTTAAGAATCATAAATACAAAAGAAAATAACATTCTTATAAAATATGTTCAAGTATTGAAATAATACTCTATTTTATTCAAAATTAAGCACTAAAAGTAAAAAATGTAGTATGTTGATAAAGTTCTATGTAAATAAGCTTACAAATCATAGTTTCTGAAAAATTAAGTGAAAGGTTACAGGTCCTAAACTTTCCATTTTATTTATATATCTTGCAAGTGGTTTGAACAGTTGATCCTCCTTAGTTATCAAAGTTAATTTCCTGAGAGTATTCACGATTCTAAACTTGCTTCTTACTTATCCCACCAAAAGTGGTAATTCTTAATACTGAAGCAGATATATGATTTTGCTTCATCATCCTCCAACTTTATTACTGCTTTAAGCTTTGCAAGGAATAGATATATTTAATTTTTAATATTTTTGTACTCTTTCCCATGTCAGTGGGATGAATAACTGTATATAAGGGTGATGTTTTGATATGTGGTATAAACACTGAAGAGTTATTGGGCTTTGTTTACTTTTTCTCCATAGGAAAGCTATTTAAATCTGAAGATTTAACTGACTTTGTACGTTTTTTTTTAATGTTCTACAAGGATAAACCCGTAGATTTGCTCTTGGGGGACATTTTTCTGGTAAAGATGTGTACCCCAGGAGAAGCTCTTGTGAGTATTTCTTTACTTTGTATTTTTAGGAAAATACTATCTCTCTGATGTAATTACCTAAATTTTGTTTACAAATTTTAGTGCATTGATTTTTTTAACTGGATATTTATATATATTTTAAAAAAGAATCGATGTAAACATATACCTGTTACAAATATTATTTCAAAGTATATCACCTAAGTATAAAATATGATGCTACAAAATTTTTAGAAGAAAACATGGGAAAAAAATCTTTAGGACCCAGGATTAGGTGAAGAATTCTTAGACATGACACAGAATGCTTGATCCATTTTTAAAAGTTGATAAATTGGACTTCATTAAAATTAAAACCTTTTGTGTTGCAAAATTTACTGTTAAGAGAAGGCACCACAGGATAGAAAAGATATTTGTAAATTCCATGTCTAACAAAGACTTGTATTCAGAATATATAGACAATTTTCAAAACTCAACAACAGGAAAACAATCCAGTTGAAAAATAGGCACAAGACTTGAACAGACTCATATCAAGGTATTTTCTCCCTTACTGCAGTAAACAATGAACTCAGCTTTGCTTCATCAACAAGTTATTTGAGTGGTATTTTGGGCAAGCAAGAATTTGATAATACCATCCTACTGAAACTTTTATTAATAGATTGAAGGTATTACTATATTTCCTATATTTTAAGTCTTCAACTAACTTTATCTGAACTTTAGTTTCAAATTAACTGTACATTATTTAATGACTTTACAGTTTTAAAAACCATTTTTAATACAGTATTTTCCTACATGTTAACATCAGTAGAAATGAATTTAAATAAGCCTGCTATTTAACATTATTAGGCATATAAATTTGAGATGTATTTTAATGAATTTTATATGTATACATTACATAAATAATGATAGCAATCATAATAATTGTTTAAACTATTTTGTTGATGTGTAGTTGATTTACAATGCTGTATTAATTTCTACTGTACAGCAGAATGATTCAGTTATACATGTACATACATATATACATATATATATACACACACATATACATTTTTTTTTTTATTTTTTTTTTATTATGGTTTCTTAAAGGATGTTGAATATATTTCCCCATATTATACAGTAGGACCTTGTTGTTTACCCATTAAATGTATAATAGTTTGCATCTGCTAACCCCACACTCCCAATCCATCCCTTCCCCACCCCTTCTCTGTCTTGGCAACCACAAGTCTGTTCTCCGTGTCTATTGAGTTTGTTTCTATTTTGTAGATAAGTTCATTTGTGTCATATTTTAGATTCCACATATAAGTGATAGCATATGACATTTTTCGTTCTCTAACTTTCTTTCTTGGTATGGTAATCTCTAGATCCATCCATGTTGTTGCAAATGGCATTATTTCATTTTTTATGCCTGAGTAATATTCCATTATATGTATGTACCACATCTTCTCCAATCAAAAAATGGGCCAAAGATCTAAACAGACATTTCTCCAAAGAAGACATACAGATGGCTAACAAACACATGAAAAGATGCTCAACATCACTCATTATCAGAGAAATGCAAATCAAATGCTTGTTTTTAATAGGGGTGATAATGTCACAGGCCATCTTTCTTTGAGAAGATTATTCAAATCTTTTTCCATGAAGTATAATACTGTTTTTTTTAAATCATATATGTTTTAAGGAAAAATTGAAGAGGGAGTAATTTAGTTTTTAAATTAATAAATGGGGAGAGAATAATGTAGACCAAGAGAAATGGATAGATGGGAAAATACTAGAAAGTTTATGCTACTAGAATAAAGAGAGAGGAGAGGAAAATTATAGTTCACACAATAGTAGCCTGATTTTCTGAGCTTTCCAGGTGACTCAGTGGTAAAGAATCCACCTATAATGTAGGAGATGCATAGGAGACTTGGGTTCCATCCCTGGGTTGGGGAGATCCCCTGGAGTAGGAAATGGCAATCCACACCACCATTCTTGCCTGGAAAATTTCATGGACAGAGGAGCCTGGCAGGCTATAGTCTATGGCATCACAAAGAGTTGGGCAAGACTGAGCAAGCAAGCCTGATTTTCTAGTGAACTAATAGAGCTCATGGAAGAAAATACATGCTTTTGCATCTCGATTTCTTTGTTCCATTATTCTTACAAAGAAAAAGCTAAGAATTTAAATGTTTTGTTTAAATTTTAAAGTAGTAATATAGAATCCAGGCAAAAACTAATAAAAGGTAAATGCAGTGAATGCAATAAAAACGAGTATTTGGGTTTTTACACAAGATTGTTTTTTCTCTTACAGGAAAAATGTATAGAACGAAATAAGCATATTCGTATTCGATATAAACCTTCTCTTTTCCAGCATGTGGGTATACAGTCATCATACCCTGGAAGAGAACAATATTTCAAAGTAAGTGTTTTGACATGTAGTTGTGTAATACACAAGGTTTCATGAACTTACAAAATATTATTTAGAAAAAGAATGATGAGAACATGAGAGGCTATAAAAATTGTCTAAACACAATTCATCTCATGACAGAACTATTTGTTATGAACAGCAATCAACTTTGCAAGATCCAGGTTATCTATCCTGGTTAGAAAAATCCAGCCTATGTAAACTTCTATGCCTTACTCTTCTCAGCTCTGTAATTTAAATAATGAAACTAGAAAGGTGTTTTGAAAATTATAGCAAAATTTACTATTTTAGTTTAATATTCAGAATTATAAAAAAATTCCAAAAATAAAATGCCTCTATTATTGAATTTAAATGTAGCATTTAAATTCTACAGCATTCTTTTTCAGGTCACTGTTTACCAAATGAACAAAATTTTAGCATTATTTGATTTTTAATCATTCCTAAGTTTTTCATCATTTTCAAAAACAATGTTATTTATAATTGTCTTAGAATCTTGGTGGGGTAAAAAGAGCAAAGACTTCAGAGTCAAAACAATCAATTTTTAGTTGTGATGACCTGTGTACATGAGACTGGGCAAGCCCTACCATGCTTCTGAGCTTTAAAGAAAGCTAGAAAATGAGGTTGAAATTAACAAGCTTTAAGATTTCTTTTACCTCTGCCATACTGTTGACATTGCTATCCTTCTTAGCTTCTTCACACAACAAAGCTAATGATTGCTTTAATATTCTCGGTTGAAATGAGACAAATGCACATGTACACCCTCTCATCATTTCATTCATTATCTGTCTGCCCTCTTTTCACCTTTTCTATTCTGGGTATTTATTGTACTGCACCCTTTGAAACAGTACCTTAGAGTGTGAACTCACTATACATTAGCTGTTAGCCATCAGGCAAGGTGGAATTCAAGATTTAAAGTGCTTGGTAAACAAGTGTCTGGAATAGTAAGAACTTTTATGAATCTTTATCATCAAAATACATAAAACATAGTCACAGGTGATGCAGACAGAAATTAGTCTATGCCTTTTTGCTGCTTGATGCTATTATAAAGGGATTCTTTTTTTCCTTTATCTGTTTTACAAGATAAGATATTTTAACCTATCTTTGTAAATTCGTGACAGATTAAGGAGAATGTACAGCTAATCATTCATATTTTGATGTTATAATCTTAACTTTATTCTTTTTTTTCTTCATACCACATAAAACAGAAAGAAATAGCAATTTAATCATGTGTAAAATATGATTATATTAAATTATTTTAAAAACTTCCAACAGGATATCTATTATTAGGAATTTCAAAATTTAACACCTTCTTTAAAAATGATCAGAATCATTCTTTGGAAAAAACAAGGATTATACTATTTCTCAACTTTCTTCATAGTGGGTAAGAGATTACATCATATTAAAGAAAGTTAAACCATCAATAAAAAGGTGGTAAGTATAAAAATTGATATAAATATATAGAAAATTGTCAGATAGTCATCAATGTGTTATTTTATAGCCTTATGTTAGGAATGTTTTTAAATTTTATGCATGTAGCTTTCTAACATTCACTAATATTTTGTTTCAGAAGAATCAATTTCCTTTTCCATTTTTATCATGTACTGTAAAAGGGAATATAATATCATGTACTGTAAAAGAGGAATTTCCTTTTCCCTTTTTATCATGTACTATGGATGTACAATGAATTGGGAGACAATAGAGCCGAGTTTGAAGGCTCATTCTTATCAATAGATCCACCAATATGGGTAAATCACTAAAATACTATGCTAGCTGAAAAAAGCCAGGTGCAAAAGACTACATATTGTATGATTCTATTTATATAAAATTCTAAAGCAAACCCTGCTATCTCATGATTTTAATTTATATATCTTTAATGACTATTAAAGATGTTGAGTATCTTTTATGTGCTTTATGTATTTTATATATTTGTATAGATATAAATATGTAAATTTTAAGCAGAAAAATAATTTAGCTTGTCTCTATTCATCTAACTTATAGTTAAAAAATAATAATCTAATAAAATAAAAGTTCATCTTAGTGGTGAATTTTAGTTTTACAAATTTTAAAATTTTACCTATGTCTTCAATTTAAATGTCCTTTATCATTTCATGTTCTACATCTATAATAAACATAATTTCAACTAAAATGTCTCAGTACGAATAACTTCTGAAAACTCAAAGTACTTAAAGAGTTTCTATTATTTGATAAGTCAGAGAACAGTGTGTTTGATAATTTGCTAGTGCTTCGTCCTACACGAAAGGTCATCTTCCTTTTATTGCAATGCACTGGGCTCAGGGCAGAGTGTTTCAATGTGTTGCAGGCTGGGTTGCCAGATAAAATACAGGATGCCCAAATAACTCTGTTTCTTTTCTTTATCTTTTTTTCAAACCCAAATAACTTTGAATGTCAGTTAAACAATGGCTTTTTGTGTGTGTATGACCCATTTGTTTTGTGTTAACCCTGGTTGGAGGTGATGGAAGAAGGCATAGAAGAATAGTTCCCATCAAAATACATTAACTATTGAATAATGACATGCAGCATGTTTGTATTTTCTTCAAAATCGTTTTGTAAAGTTTTATGTGTCTCTTTTATGTAAAGATAGAGCAGACGGAGGTGGTTGTAAAAGGACAGAATAAGGAAAGAGTATTATCAGAAAACTGTCATGAAAATAATTATGTCCTTATGAATGAATAATATGCCATTTCTAGATGTTACAGATTTCTTATTTTTATTACAGGAAATATGAAAAAATGAAGCACAACAAGACGAAGCTCTGTACTACTTTAATCTTAGGTCACCGTGATTTCCAATGACATCTTTCAGAAATTTTAATATTCAAAACAAATGATTATATAAAAGAGGAAGGAATAATGAACAAACTAGTAATTTGAAAGTATTTAACTGCCTCTATGTCAATTTTTTGCAATATGCAAATACAATATGCAAACAAAAATTTGCATATTTGTTTATGATACTTGTACCCTTACTATTACAATTTTTTATAAAAATAAGTAAAGACAGGGAGGTTTTTAAAAATAAATATATTTTGTTGAATTAGATAGTTAAGTAGCTATCTAAAAAGCTAAACATTTTAGCTAAGTAGCTAAAATTTCAGAAACTTGGTATTATCCGGGACAGGTTCTGTGTGAACCGGTGCGTGCTGCTATCTGTTTTGTTAAGACACCTAAAATAGCAGAAGGCTGAGCAGCTGTGAGGCTGGCAGTGCCCAATATCTTCTTGTCTTTTTAACAAATGCGTTTAAAACCCTAAAACTTCCAAGTGCCATTTGAGCTGATTAACAAACATCTTGCTGTATATGTATTCTGATAGTCATTCAGTTCTAAAGATTTCATATTTTCTCTTATTATTGCATTCTCAACTCTTGGGTTATTTGGGAGTGTTTTTTTAATATCTTGGTTTTGCCATCTTTTACTGTTGATTTATAATTTAATTACCTTGTTGTTAGAGACTTCGTGTGATAAACTTTGAGAGTTATGAATTCTTATATTTCATATGAATTAGAGAAGAATGTATAGTCTTTACATACTCCCTTTAAAATATGCATCACTCATTTGCATTTTTATTGAGGTATAGTTGATTTCCTTTTTTCATTTGTTTTTATAAATGTTAGTTTTGTGCTTTATAAATGTCTTCTTTAAATATTCCTATTCATTGGATGCTGGTTTCTCTTATATCAAGCTTTTTAATTTATTTGTTAAATGCTTTAAAATCTTTATTAATTCATCAGTTTCTTATAGGAATCTATTAAAATCTACTATTTTTCCTCTTGTTATTCTATTGAGTTTTACTTTGAGAAATAATGAGATATTCCTTCTTTCTTGCCCTTCATAAAATATGAAAATCTTAATTCAAACTACTGTATTATCCTTGACTGTCAAAACTTTGCACATTTACATCAACATGAACCATGTCACATACTAAAGTGAATATGAACAATGAACTATTCATATGCACCCATTTCACTTTCTTCTTTAAAGAAAGGAGCTATATGTCAACTATTACCTCAATAAAGCTGGGAAGAAAAATAAAAAAGACATGTATTTTTAAAATTTGACTTCCGTTTTGAGCTTTTAAAATTAAATCTACCAGATCATATTCCAGGTTACTATGAAAAATTACAACTAATTCCAGGTAGAGCATTTCTGAAAAAGCAGCACAATTCCTTGTAAAGGTACCCACTAGACTTCTTAGTTCACCATCCAAAATTGGAACAAAATACCCGAAGGGTTGATACAATAAACTGGAATAGTATTAAATGAGACTGCCCAACATTCCACTGGCTGTTGTTGAAAAGCCTGAATGATTCCAGATGATTCCAAGGGAACTCTGCTGTGACACTCAGAAAGAGGCATTTGAACACTGACCAATATAACCTGGGCATGGCAGATGCTGGAAATTATGATAAAGAGAAGGAAGTTAAAAGACAGCCTTAAAGATTCAACCCAATGACTGCTGTCCTTAAGGGAATGATTCCAGAACAAGTGTTTCAGTGGTCAGCACAAAGCAATTCTCGAAAATGTTTCTAATGTAGCCGGGAGAGATGCCCCATCTTCCATTCCCATCCCTACTGCTCCCAGATGGTAGCTATTTGGAGGGTCTCATTCACCACCCACAGCCTCTGGTCTGAGTGTATGGGGAAGGGGAGATTTGGAGAACCTTAGACACCTATCTGAAGTATAGCAGAGCAAATAGTGATCTCTGGTTGGTTGGGGCATTCATTATATAACATGCTGATTTTGCTTTTTAAAAAATCACTTTTCTTCAAACCTACACATGGAGGCAAATTGTGTATTTAAGCACCTGACTCAATATATCAGATAAGTTTGTAAAAGCCAGATTCAGATAAGACTTTTTTTTTTCAACATTACTTTTAAATGAATAGCTCTGTAAACATTGGAGGCATGGTAAGTGAAAGTCTCTTGCCAGAATGTCTCTTAAGTATTGATAATAGCCACCATCATCTGCTTTAAATACTGTGGAAGTAAATGGTTATATGGTAGTACTACTAATCGTAGTTGTAATAGTAAATGTGGTATACTCCTGGTAGAAGGAAAAGGGACACTTTTTTCTAACATAAGTGTGTAAATTATCTAGGGATTTGCTGTGTTTTCCTCTATGGATCTTCCACCTGGTGACAGAATTGAAACAATTATGAACAAATAATGGGAGCTAAATCTGCCCAGGCATTTTCCCATGGAGACCATCATCTTATGGTTTTTTTTTTCTTACTTACCTTAGCATATATTTTTAGATGCTGTGTTGATATTAGTAGTTGCTCATAGGTAATGAGTGAATCATGAGATGAAAGATTTTTGTTTTACTGATATTTTCTTTCTGAAAGCTTAGATGAAAATGAGTGATTTCTTAGGGTAATACAGTTTACCCAAATTGATAACAAGTAGAGACAGAAAATGTCAACCACGATTCCAAGAATGCCCACTTCCTTGGCTTTCCTAGGATGCGCCCAATAGTACTTCTCTGATAAAACTTTCCTTTAGGAAAAATGAATGGCAACATACTCTGTCCCAGCATTTTGTCCGTTCTATTATGTAACTTACACATTATTGGATATTTAATTTGATGATAATTAAAATTATAATGGAGTAATCATGGATCAGGCATACAAAAATGGAGTTGGGTGGCCAATGAGGACCAGGTCTCAGAGAAGTCTCTGCACCACTGAGAACTTGAACTTTCTTTGAGCTATGCGAGACTCAAGACCACCACCAGCTGTATTCAAAACAGCACCTGTCAGCTGCAACCTTATGGTCTCAAGTTCTCCCCTTGTAAGTATGCAACCATTTGGGACCCCCACCAATCCTCACTTAATAAGCACCCTTACTTCTTGCCAGCTCCAATTGTAATTCTTGATAACCACTCAAGTAACTTTAAGCTTTCGGTTTTTGCCTTTATAAGCCTCATTTTGTAGTCCAAAAAGAACACAGTTCAGGTAGTTCTTGAGTCTGTGTCTCCAGGCTGGAGTCCTAACAGACCCCAGATAAATGCCTTTTTATCTCAGTTGGGTCTCTTTCTAGAATGGTGGTCAACAGATTATATGTCTGTTTTTCTAAATACATTATTAGCTACTTGAAAGCAGAGCTCATATAGTTGTCATCTTTGAGTTATCAGTATTTTCATAGTTTAGCAGACAGAAGATAAATATTCAATAAATGTCTGGTAAGCCTCTCAGTGACAGGAACATGGAAACACTTTAGCTTTTCATTCTGAATTCCTTTTAAAATAACAAAATAGATAAATAGGTACTCCCTCAAACAACATTCTAAACTGAATAAGTATTAAGCATATATCTGAATCTTGGAGTTTTAATAAATCTTCACATCAGTGGGTCAGATTAAGGGCTCATTTAGCTCAGATTCCTTGTTCCTAAAGTTTAAGCTTTCAGCTTCTTCATTGCAAACTTTGAGTGGATCCTTCAGAAATTCTTTTCCAACAAGTCAAATTTGTTGCTGGCCACAGAATTATGTCAAATAACAGAAGTCGCAAAGCCTAAGAAAAGGAGAGCATAATACTGTTTAAAGTACCTGGAATGAATGTGTCTTTTTAAACCCATAAATACCATCCAAATACCAAAAATATCATCTTTGACACAGAAGATGACAGTCTCAAAAGTCTAGATATAGTGGTCTTATCACGGATGCATTGTGAAAAATGTTCAGTGATCTCGATATCTAGCCAATAATCACATTTTATGCATGGAGCTCCATCAATTCCCTTAATCTGAGACTCTTTAACAGAGGTATCACAAGTTAAATATTTTATTATTCCAATAAAATTTAAAGCATTATAATACCAAAATCAAAGTCAAAATTTATTATCAAGTATAAGCAGTAAGGGCTTATATGATCCAACATCTATGGGGCAAAGAAAGTTGTGATTCACTACTACGTTTATGCTGTATTTTAACTTTTAGTGTGAGTTAAAATGACAGGCTCTGGAAAAGATTTGAACTCCATTTCCACCATTTATTAATACTTCAAGCCAAAGGCAAGTAATTTTCTTCAGTTTTTTTCACCAGAGTTGTTAGGACGTTCAATAGCATAATGAATGTATAATAAAACCATTTCAGTTCAGTCGCTCAGTCGTGTCTGACTCTTGGTGACCCCATGAATCGCAGCACACCAGGCCTCCCTGTCCATCACCAACCCCCGGAGTTTACTCAAACTCATGCCCATTGAGTCGGTGATGCCATCCAGCCGTCTCCTCCTGCCCACAATCCCTCCCAGCATCAGGGTCTTTTCCAATGAGTCAACTCTTCGCATGAGGTGGCCAAAGTATTGGAGTTTCAGCTTCAGCATCAGTCCTTCCAATGAACCCCCAGGACTGATCTCCTTTAGGACGGACTGGTTGGATCTCCTTGCAGTCCAAGGGGCTCGCAAGAGTCTTCTCCAACACCGCAGTTCAAAAGCATCAATTTTTCGGTGCTCAGCTTTGTTTAGAGAGCAGTAAACACAACGAAAGATTAACAATTGGTATCAGTAGCATTTAAAAAGACACCATGTAACCATGTGGTACTATTTATTATGTTAATATTTACTGTAGCTCCATCATACACTTTCAGGGAAGAATAGCTCTCTGCTGACCACAATGACCTCTCATCAGAAAGTCTAGAACCCTAGGGAAGGCCTGGGGTACTAACCGGACGCTGTTAAAATGTTATTTACTCAAAATTCAGGGCCCAATTATGTGCAATAGGAGGTAGGACCTCACTGTTTGCAGGGAGCAGGCGCTTTGCGGGAGGGAAGGGTCTTTGGATGGATAGCCAGGAATGCCTCCCGGGCCATCCCAGGAGCCGGACGCACGCAGCAACCGGCCGGCGGGGACCGCGCGGCGCGTGGTCGGGAAGGGCCCTCGGCGGCGGTTGAGCCCCTCGGTGCAGGTGCGCGCAACACGCGCCTCCGGCCGCCGCCTCCTCCCCGCCCGCGGCCGCACGCGCACGCGCGGTTAGCAGTCGCTGCTGCGCGGCCGACGGCTGGATTGAGCTGGGGGAGACGCGGGGACCAGGTGGCAGCGGCTCGGACATCGGAGCTGCCCCTCCCGAAGACGGGCCCATAAGTCAGGTGCGTGGGCCACTTTTCGGCGTCCTTCTGCGCTGCAGCTGGGGGTGAGGAAGCCGAGTCCTAGCTCTTCCCCGCAGGGCGGGGGCTCCTGCTGCGCCCCTCTCTTGGGCGTCCGCCAGGCGGACCCGGTAGGAACCCGTGAGGAGGTGGGTGTGGAGTTTGGGGATGGGGACGCAGCCAGCGAGGTTCTCGGGCGGGCTCTCCAGGCCGCGGGGGAAGGGAGGCCGGCCCGGGCGGGCGGCGGCGGGGCGATGCCCCCTCGGGGTCGGTTGGGGCCCCCGGAACTTCTGTGTGCATGGCCACCTGCGGCGCTGGGGCCGGCGCGGGCAGGGCCAGTTGGCCCCTCAGCCCGGCCTGTCCCCGAGGGTTCAGAGGCCCCGGGGAGCCGAGTCCGTTACTCCAGCGGTTGCCATTTCAACCCCGTTCCACGCTCGAGCCCCGGTGCGCGCTCCCGAGGGATGGCGAGGGGCCCGGTCTCATTTCGGCGCTGCTCACTCCGCCCGCTCCTTCGCACCGACAGGCGAGTCAAACCCAGCTAGGCTCAGTTCACGCCCTGCCCGCCAGGATCTGTAGAGGCGAAGGGACCTGACCTCTCGGCGGCGGTGGCCCGCGACTCCCGGCCGCTCCCTCGGCGCGCCGCCTGGGGCTCGGTGCGCGCCGCTGGGGAGGGAGGGTTGTGCTGAATCCTGCGTAGCCCTAATGACTCCAGACTCATTATCGCCCACGGCGTGTTTACGATCAGATACTTTAGCTGATTTTATTTATAGCGCCTGCCGGAGCAACTGGGCTCCGAGGCGTTTGCTTTGGATATATAAAAAAATGGCAACGACGCCCAGAAGGGAGAAAGCAGATCAATCGAGAGTGGCCATGGGAAGAACTCTCGGATTAGGAAAGTTAGTTTGGAAACTTTTTGATGCTTTAAAGCCATCAAAACCTTGATCTAGCCTTGCGATTTTGCTTGCTCTAAAATTTTTACGTCACTCTAGGTATATTGATTACTGAAGGTAACCTTCCTTTTGGCAATTGTTTGACTGCAGTTTACAGTTTTGTCTTCACATGCAATGGGTTTGATCTTCCAATCACATTAAAGGCCGTTCCTTGGTAGCTCAGATGGTAAAGCATCTGCCTGCAATGCGGGAGACCCAGATTCGATCCTTTGGTCAGGAAGATCCGAGTCAGGAAGGTTCTCCGGAGAAGGAACTTCCAACCCACTCCAGTATTCTTGCCTGGAAAATCTCATGGACGGTGGAGCCCGGCGGGGTCAGTGGGGTCGCAAAGAGTCAAACATGACTGAGCGACTAATGCTTTCCAGTCACATTTAGAGCTTATCCGTAAATCCATGGAAGATAGCCCTCATCTAGTTGATAAAGTTGATTACTGTGTATGGATTGTGTATGTTATAGATCCTCAGAAACTGAACAGTGCTGTGCTTAGTCACTTTAGTCTTGTTGGATGGACTCTCTGTGACCCCATGGACTATATAGCCCGCCAGGCTCCTCTGTCCTGGATTCTCCAGGCAGGAATACTGGAGTGGGTTTTCAAGTGCTATAAATTAACCTTGCTTGTTCCTAGTAAGTTTTAGTGCTCTTAACTGGAAAGCTAGAATTGCCAACTCTAATAGACTTTTAGATCATCCAGCTTAATCCTTTCACGTGATAAATGGAGAGGGGGGGCGGTTAGAACAGTTTTAGACCTTTCCTTTTTAGTAATAGAATATGAAACTTGGCATGATGGTACCAAATGGTACTTTCTATCTTATCACTTCGTAGTTGAGCTACTGAAGTTACATGACAACTAAAACTTAAGTGATTTTTCCAACACTGCTTTGGAGGCTTAGCCGTGCTGGTGAGTCCTCAGTCAGCCATTAAAACTGGCTAACAGAAACATCTCAGTTATAATAGCAGATAGAAAGCATGAGTGTGTTAATAGGTGAGTGTTAAGAGTAAGAAATGAGTCTTAAAAGGGCAGAATTTATGCTGAGAACTGTAGACAACTGTTGAATGTTTTTATGAACAGGTAGTACCATTAGACTTGTTTTTTAGAAAATTCATGCTGGAGAGAAAGTGGCAGATAGATGGATTGGGAAAACTGCAAGTGAAGAAGCAAAGTGGGACTTTACTGATGCTTTTCAGAAATCATGGATTCCTAAATTAAGGCTGTGGCGTGGATATAGAAAGACACATTCAGAAACACCCAAACAGGTTTAGCTACCAATGATACAGAATATCAGCAAAGAATAATCTTAAGATAGTGACAGAGTAACTTGGCTGATTTGGTTGACCAGAGGTGCAGTTAATGGAAGAAGGGAATTGAGATTAGAGAACTAGTTTGGGTGGAAAGATGAGCCTCAAATTAATAGAGGCTTTGATACGTCCTTGCAGATACTAAAGGGTGGTGGCTTCTGTGCTGTGGATAACACTTGGGAGTCTTTAGTTAGTCCTTATAGGTAGAGGTCAAGAGTGTATGAAATGTAAGGAGAAAGCCTGGGGACAGAACCTGAAGGAACAGCATCATTTACAGGAGATTAGAGAGAGCCCATAGAGGTGGCAGAGAAGATGAAGAGAATCAAGACTCAGGAATAGCATCATGGAAATCAAGGAAGGAGAGAGCTTCGAAGAAGCAGTCAGCCAGGTCGAGAGACAGCAGTAGGCAATAGGACTGAAAAAAGCTGTTGCACTTACCAAGTAAGATTTGGTTGATGGGAACTGTTTCAAAGAAGCTAGAATCAAGTACAGGAATAATAGAAGTATTAGTTTTTCATTGTTGTCCTAATAAGTTACCACAAACTTAGCAGCTTAATGTCACACATTTCTTTTCTCACAGTTCTATAGGTCAGAAGTCTGACCCAGGTCTCACTGCGATGACATCAGGTGTTGACAAGGCAGCATTCCTTATTAGCAGCTCTGGGGAGATTCTTCTTCCTTGCTCATTCAGATTGATGACACAATTCAATTTCTTTTGGTTGTAGGACTGAGGTTCTTGTTTCCTTGTTGATTATCAGCTGAAGGTTGTGATTTTCAGCTTCTAGAGCCCACTCACAGTCCTTGGATGGGGGTGGTCATTGTTGTGGGTACCGCAGGAAGTTAAAAACGCTAACACTTAATGAAGACATTCTTTCTAGATGCTTTCATTAAGATGATACCCGGAAACATTTACATTATCTAGCATGTGATAATTATAGTTCCAATAGTAAGCCTTACTTCATAACTGTCTTCTTAAATATCCTGAAATTTGTGTGAACACTGTAAAATTTTAAAGTTTCAGAGAAATATAAGGTAATACTATGAAGTTGTTCATTTTTGTTTTGTTTTTTCTAGCCTTAAGCTGCTTTAAAATCTTTGCTGGAAAGATTTTAAAGGCCATTTAACCAACTAACTAGATTTGTGTGTATAAATTATAGTTTGCATAGACATCAAAATATGGCTTTTAGAATATGAAGCCCACAGAAACTGGGATGGAAGTCTAAAGAATGGAACATATTTAAAAAATACTTAGCCTTGTATTTATAGGCCTAGAGCCTCAATTTATAGGCCATTTAATGAGTTAAATAGTTAAACGTTCTAACTTTGGAGCTTTAATGAAATGAATGTAGAGTTTGAAGCTATACCTATTGTAACTTTGGGTCTTAACCTTTGCTATTGAGTAGCGTTCTCTGTTCTTGAGGAAGCTGCTTCCTGAGTCTCGCTTTCCTTATGGAGGACGGGGCACCAGTGCCAGCATCAGAGAGAGCTACAAGCTTGGAATCCATCACACCTAAACAGCAGCTCACACAGCACTTCCTGTTCTCCTTGTCCCCCTCTCCTCTTTCCAGTTCCCGTCTAGAGAGCCGCTTCCTTTGCCCACGGCCTGGGGAAATCCGTCCTTTCTAGCCTTTGACCTCAGTTTGACTGTAGCTTTCTCAAGGAGGCTTTCTCGGACACTCCCTCCACCATGCAAATTTAGTTCCCCAATTACCGACTCATACAAATCCCTTACCAGTCAGTCACTTGTCACAATTTACTGTGTGTTAAACCTGGGTTATTTAACACCTGCTTTCCATCCCAAACTATAAGCTCTTTGCAGTCAGGGGCCATATGTTTTGCTAATTTCTTTAAGTTCAGTAAGTTCTAATTGTAAATTCTAACATCATGCCTGGCACATAATTGACAACCGTAGTATTTGTTAAATGAATTCATGAATGATGAATTTTTTAATCTACTGAATAACCTCTCCTGAATTCCTGGAAACATTAGATACTACAATATTTATAAATCCCAGGTGTGACTTATTCTGAAGCATGCTCGTTTCTTTGAGAAAGTCCCTGCATTTTCAAATGGAGTCTTGCAGCTTCTTTGGAAGAAGGCTGCCTCTGTAAGATGCCACTATCAATCCACTCCAGTGTTCTTGCCTGGAGAATCCCAGGAACAGAGGAGCCTGGTGGGCTGCTGTTTATGGGGTCACAGAGTCGGACACGACTGAAGCGACTTAGCAGCAGCATTACCATCTCTTCACCTTATTTGTGATGCTTCAAAGGGAACTATGTGCACCATGGCCAGATAATTCCAAGAATACTCTTTAATTTTGGTGAGAATTTGTCCAGTTTTATTTTTATGACGTTGTAACAGATTTTTTCATCTAATTTCTTTTTTTTTTTTTTTTTTACTATCTTTTCTAGTAAGTTATGAACTGAGTTGTTAAAATGCAGGATGTCTGTAGCAAGATTCTGAAATACCTCACAATGAGGTATTTCTTCATAGATGTAGAATAGAAATGAATAATATGTTTAATTCTCCCAAAACTGCAAAATTTCTAAATTACTATCTCCTTTATCTATAGGAATACTTTGTGTTACATTTTAACAATGTTCTAAAAGACTTTAGAGGGCCAGTGTTGGAAGTGTTGATGTAACCATTTCTTTCTCATAAAACCATAGTTTAAAACATCTACTGTATATAAGGTTTCAACCCATGAATTTTTCTAGGAGCTAAATTCTAAAAAAGGATTTTTCCTCCAAGGATCTT